GACAATTATAAACACGTCCACTCACGCAAAATAGATAAAAAATGAAAGTAATCTAAGCATCTGGTGTGAAAGCACTCTGAGGCAGAGGCAGGTGGACCTCTGTGAGTTTGAGTCCACCCTGATCTATGGGGCAAGTTTCAGGCAGTCACAGCTACATAGAGACCGTGTCTCCAAACCAAACCAAAATAAACAAACAATAAGAACAAAACCTATCATTTAAGCATCCTATTATGGGAGTGGTTTTTTTGTTTGTTTGTTTTTTGTTTTGGTTCAACCTACTTATGGACTGAGGCAAATGATTTGAAGACCCCACTTAGTTCTGAGCTTGGGGCACAAGGATTTGTTGCCGGATGGCTCCCCATAAGCCATGGCTCTAGTGTGAATGCCTGAACATTGTACTTCCACCCCCACACGCCCTCCTCCAGCCAGCCGGACATATGTAGAGCCATGAGAAAGTCATTGCTGCTCTCTCCGCTTGTGGTCACCTCTCACCTACGTTAGGCATTGATTTCCTTCCTTTCAGGTCGGCATCAACAAAGTCTTTGCTGAGGTGCTGCCTTCTCACAAGGTGGCCAAGGTCCAGGAGCTCCAGAACGAAGGGCAGAAGGTAGCCATGGTGGGAGACGGCGTGAACGACTCCCCAGCCTTGGCCCAGGCCGACGTGGGGATTGCTATTGGGACCGGCACCGACGTCGCCATCGAAGCAGCAGACGTGGTTCTTATCAGAGTGAGCTTGGCTGTGTCCAGGTCATAGGAGGGGCTGGGGTTGGCCTGAGTTCATTGTTCAAGTGTGCTCCTCTCCTGTAGAATGACTTGCTGGACGTGGTGGCCAGTATTCATCTTTCCAAGAGGACTGTCCGGCGGATCCGGGTCAATCTGGTGCTGGCATTGATCTATAACATGGTTGGAATACCTATTGCCGCAGGTAGGTAGGGGCGGCCCTCACCTCTTACGTCACCTTTGGTCTTTCTGCTAAGTCCATGATGAACTTTTGAGTCATCCTTCCCTTGGGTTGACTGGCCAGACACGGTCTGGAAAGTCCTGAGGGGGCCTCACAGCTTCCTTCACTCTGGCCCTGTATAGACCGCTATTAGAGGCTTGGCCATTCCTTTAAGGTGACCCTAATCTCTGAAGCTTTATTAAGACACGTGGACTGAGTAATGAGCATCATGGAGTGTTTTGAGGTGCCTGCGATGCCAGATACACAGCCTATCTTAAAAATGAATCCTGCCCAGACTGGGGTCCAACTCCCACAACTGACTTGGAGAGAGAAAGTATTTCTGCTCTGAAACTGCCCTTCCTCTCCTCCCATTCCTCACCCAAAAAATGAGGAACCAGGCAAGGGACCATTCCAGACACTTCTGCAAGGCTTCATAGGCTGAAAGGACCAGAAAGTTAATCTTTTTTTGTTACATTTTGCATGTGTGTGTGCATAGGTGTGTGTGTGCGTGTGCATGTGTGTACATGTACATGCGTGTGTGTGCGCGCGCGTGTGCGAGCGTGCGTGTGCGCACACGTGTGTGTACATGGGTATTGATTGAGGTGAGAGGATTCCCTGCCAGAATCAGTTCTTGCATTCCATTTTGTGGTCCTCGGAACAATCTCAGGCCATTGGGCTTGGCAGGAAGTCCCTTCACCCACTAAGCCATCTTGTTAGCCCTGGCCAGAAGTTCTTAAGCACAGCTTTTCTGCCTGCTTCTCTTTTGTGTACAGATGGCTACTGGTGACTTCCATAATAGAAACTATCCAGTCTGCCTCAGCCTCCTGGACCTTGAAGTCAGACAAGGAAGGGTCTTTCTATCTCCAGAGGCCACTCAGGAACTTCATTTCAGTCCCTTCTTAGACTCCTGCAGGGGGATGTCTGGGACCTGGCTTTCGGCCCTCCCAAGAGACCAGGCTGTTATCTTTGCAGACAGGGACTATGACCATCCATAGTGCTTGTCCCTTGTGGGTCCCAACCCCTGAGCTGGGTGGTGCTACCAATTCATAGATCTAATCAGGTAGGCAAGAGAGACCCACCTTCCCTTCACGGTACCTCTACTAGCTTTGGAAGATGGTCTGACCTCGGAAGCTGGTGGGCGTAGTAATCTCCTCACTTCCCCGAGGAGGACTCTCAGTGTTCCCTGACACTCAGGTGATGCTTGCCCTTTTGTCTGGCAGGTGTCTTCATGCCCATTGGCATCGTCCTGCAGCCGTGGATGGGCTCAGCGGCCATGGCAGCCTCCTCTGTGTCTGTGGTGCTCTCCTCTCTTCAGCTCAAGTGGTGAGTCCTGGGCCTGGAGCGCTGCTGGAGTCCCGGCAGGCTCCGCTGTATGTGCTCACAGCGGGCGGGGGCACACAGCCTGCTTCCTTGTTCTCATTCCCCGTTATTTAGCCAGGAAAACCACAAAGGACCTGAGTGGGTTTCTGCAGTGCCTTCTCAGCACCCTGGACAAGAAACTGACCACTTACCATTGTCATAAGCTGGGCCTTTCTCATGTGCTCAGGAGCTGTTTGTATGAACATGTCAGCACATGGTCCCCGTGTATCACCAGTTCTCCTCCTTAAAAAAGATGTTCACAGACTAGGGATACCACTCACTAGCAGGGCACCCGTCTAGCGTGTGAAAGACCCTGGGTTCAGTTCCTAACACTGCCAGAAAAGTAAGACATTGATTTCCTGGTTCATGCATTTATTGAACGAAAGTGCATGACAGCCTACTGTGTGAGGTTATGACATAAGAAAGTTTCTGGATCAGATGAACTTGGACCATGGGAATTCAGGGTCTTTTTCCTTCAAGACCCATGACATTTTGTTACGTGTGTTACTGAAAAATGTTGATTTCACCCGTGAGAAAGAGCCTTATGTCCTGAGTGACTCAAGTACTCTCGGATTCTTGCCTTCCAGCTACAGAAAGCCTGACGTGGAGAGATATGAGGCACAGGCCCATGGCCGCATGAAGCCTCTGAGTGCGTCCCAGGTCAGTGTGCACGTTGGCATGGATGACCGACGGCGGGATTCTCCTAAGGCCACGCCGTGGGACCAGGTCAGCTATGTGAGCCAAGTGTCTCTGTCCTCCTTGACATCAGACAGACTGTCTCGTCATGGTGGCACAGCAGATGACACTGGGGATAAATGGTCCCTGCTTCTGAGTGACAGGGATGAAGAGCAGTGCATCTGAGAGCTCAAGTGGCAGCCCTGGGCAGGCCAAGGTGCTCCTTCTAGGTGAGCCTGCATCTGCTCAATCTGGTTGAGCCGGCAGGGGTAGCCCCAACAAGCAGCAGTGTGTGTGTGGGTGAAGCTCATCTCGAGCCCCGACCATCCTGCTAGCCTTCCTACAGTGTGTGAGAACTTAACCTGGTGTATCTGCAGACACCGGGTAGGACTGCTCTCTCCAAACCCTGCTTGGATTCTAGTATAGGAGAGAAAGCCAGCACTCCTCAGAGCTCTGCCTCCTGGATTTGCATGGCTGGCAGTGAAATGGGGAACCCTCAGTACCAAAAGCCTAGCCAAGCACCCTGAAGAGCGCCCGTCCAGAGCTTTTCCGTACTGAGAGCTCTCAGAAAGCTTGGCGTTACATAGCGCACATGAGCCATGCAAGCCGAAGGCTTCCTCAGATGTGCCTGCTGCTTTCTGCCTTGTGTAGCTGCCATCTTGATACCAGGATGTGCTTGCCTTCTGTCTTGGGTTAGATGCTCTGGCTCCTTGCATTTTCTGCCTAAAGTGACTCCCCGATTTACACCCCAACCCAAAAGCTTCCCTGCATCCCTTTTTACTCTGAGGAGAGAGTTCTGTCCCACTTAGAGCCAGTTCTGCCGATTCGTACATTCTGCTCCCAAACAGCTGGAGGGAAGCCAGAGTCCATTTTCCCAGGGGGTCCAGGTCCTCGTCACCCAGGGCATCCTATATGGCCCTGCTATGGCCTGTGGTGCTTAAAGCAGTGTCTTTTGGTGGGCATAAGCATAAGGGAACCTTCCTGTCACCTAGTGGGGTCCCGTGGAGTTTGTCACAAATGCCTACTGTGTGTGCCTAGAGGGAACTGTTCCATCAGAAGAGAGTATCCTGAGAGAGCTGTCTGCTGCTGAGGGACATCTAATAGAGGGACATGCACAGCTCCCCAGTAAAGTGGCTTTGTCATCAGTGACTGATTGTGATCAGGTGGCATCAGAAGGCCCTGCTTAACTGAGCTGCTGTACTACCTGGAACAGATTGGCAGAATCAGATTCCTCTTATTTGTGACACACACAAAAAATACTGCCTTTATTGAATGTCAGGGGCAGTTCTTGCAGATTTAATTGTCTCTTTCCCCTCAAAAGTAGCTCAGTAGCTATTGTCTACATTTTAAAAACAAGGAAACGGAGTCAGAGGAGCTCAGTGTCTCCCTAGGAACTCACAGCCAGAGTGTGGTTCGGTTGGCCCTGAAGGTTGCCGCCGTCTTGAATATCAGTGTGCTTGGTGAGAGTAAACTGGACAAAGGTCCTTGTCTCTGGAGGAGCAAATGTGCCAGGACATGTGTTAGTTGTATCAACTTAGAGCGCAGCTGGTCTCGAGGTTGCTAACCTTCACTTCGGATGGTTAGTTTCAGTTTTGCATATGTGTTTTTGCGGAGTTTTTTCCTCTAAAGTCCCAAGTTCCGGGATTTGTTGTGCTCTTTGTTTTGAGCCCTCCACACCGTCCGCCAGAACTCTTCCCACTGTTTCCACCCGTTCATTCTACAGCTTTGTTTCGGAATTTTTCTTGCTTTGGAATAAGGTAATCATTTTCTAAAGACTCTAATTGTGTTGATTTCTTTTTTACACCTGAGAACAGAAGCATCATGTTCACATGCAGACATGAAAATATTTACGTAATTGTACAAAAATAAATAACTTTTTAGATGTTCAAAGAGTCTGGAATCTTTTCTGACTGGAGAACCGTTTCTTCAAAGTTTCCCACGCAGCGTGAGGGTAACGTTGCACGCTCTCCTCCGGGAGTCGCCATGGCTCGCTCTGTCTGCATGAGGACCGGCGAGGACTCCTTTGGAGGACAGAGACAGAGAAGAATAGGACTCTAGCAGTGGAGGCACGAGGCGGCGGGGACCCAATATTGCCTTGCCCTGGTCAGAACCCCTCTGCTGAAGTCTGCTGGCAGCTGCCTGAGTGCCATGCACGACTGCTGAGAGCCCTTTGCTGAAGTCACCGCCCCAATGGGTTGACTCACAGACTTTGGCTCCCTCCTGAAACACATGAAGTGATCAGCGAGGATGTACTTCGGGATCCTTGCCTTGAGAGAGTGGGAGAGAAGACAGTGAAGAAAAAAAAAACAAGACCGGGGGCTTCTGTTGGGGAAGCGAAGTTCTGCTTGGGGTACCCTAATGATACGATTTGTCACCCAACCCGGACACTATGGAGAGTGGAAAGAATGTCAGCAGAGATGTGCTGGTGACACAAACCTTTACGAAAGGTCCAGGCCTTCCTTTCATCATGTGCTGCATCAGGACCACATAACTAGAGGCTGGTCCTTGGGCGTCCCGGGTGCCCTGCACTGCTTGATCTCTAGCGCACCCTAGAGGACTTCTCAGTCTAGGCATGGGGCTTCCCTGTGCTGTCCTGAAAGAACATTGTTGCTGGTTGTATGAAGAATGTAGCAAGCCTCCTCCCCAAGGCTTCCTCAGGCATCAGACTGAATCCCAGTATCTTCCCATTCCTGGTATTCCTGATAAAGTGAAAAATCTTGATGGATTACCTTTATAATAAATTAAGGATAATTTCAATTTTAGTGGCATCTGAAAACTGGCATGTCATAAAATAGATCTCTAAACTGTGTTCTAATTCAGTATGGAACTGGGACCAATAAAGGTGACTTTCACTTTAAGGAAATTCAGGACAGACTAAATTCAACCAATCATATTATTTAAGTAGAAAAAGATTACCTGACTAAAAGGTTTGGGGAGATTGGGGACTTTATGGAGGCTAGCATGGTAGATCATTTACCCACAGGGTCCTCGGTTCAATCTCCGGTACAACTAAAAGAAAAAAGGATTTCCAAAAACAAATTCCCTACTGTACTTAAAGTTTCTGCGTTCTAAAAGGTCTATTTGTGTGCAACCATAATTCCACATTTCCCTGGAGCGCAACGCAAAGCAATACAGGGAGCGACCTGCTGGTTCTCCTTTCCTGTACAGGTGTGTGTGCAAGCTTTAGAGGCTTCAACGTATTTAACATGTTTCTGACATCTGGGATTCCCAGCCTCCCTGTATCTGTCGACTTTGAGTACATGTTAGGGTGATGCCATGGTCATCATAGCTGCATCTGAGTTTTGTATTGTGCAGGGTGATGGGTCTACTTACATTTCTCTGTGTACAACCTTCTAGTTGGAACAGCACTATTTGTTGAAGATGCTGGGTTTCCCCCTCCCCTGTGTACTTCTGGCTTCTTTGTCAAAAATCAAGTGTCCATGGGTGAGAGGACTTATGTCTGGGTCCTCAGTTCTATCCCATTGACCAACCTCTCTGCTTTTAAGCCTATACTACGCTCTTTTTATTACTATAGCGTTGTAGCACAACTTCAGATCAGTGGTGTTCTTTTATTATTAAAATTGTTTCAGCTGTCCAGGATATATTTTGGGTTTTCATTATGAAGTTGAGAACTGTTTTTTTTTTTTTTCAATTTTTGTGAAGAATTGTTTTGGAATTTTGATGGTGATTGTGTCAAATCTGTAGATTGCTTTTGGTAGAATAATCATTTTCACTATATTAATTCTACTGATTATTGAGCATCTTGCCATCCTCTGGTGTCTTCTTTCATTTCTTCTTCAGTATCTTAAAGTTTCATTATGCAAATCTTTCACTTGGTTGTTTACAGTATCACAAGATACTTTTTTCTGGGGGTGGGAGAGTATTGTGAAAGGCATTATTCCCTGATTTCTTTCTCAGTCTCTTTTGTACATAGGAAGGCTACTGGGTTTTGTGTGTTAGTTTTGTATTCTGCTACTTTGTTGGAGGTGTTGGAGGTCAGAACTTTCTAGGTGGAGTTTTTAGGGATATATGTATTATACATAAGTATACAAATATATAAACATATACCATCTGCAGATTAAAAAAAGATACTTTGACTTCTTCCTTTCCTATTTGTAGCCTCTTGATCTTCAGTTGTCTTCGATTGTCTTATTGAAGTCAGGTTAAGACTTCAAGTACTATATTGAATAGGTATGGAAAGAGTGGACAACCTTGTCTTGTTCCTGATTTTAATGAAATTGCTTTGAGTTTTTTTTTTTTTTTTTTTTTTTTGCTTAGTGGGTAGGCTTGTTGTATAGTGCCCTTATTATGTTGAGATATGTCCCTGTATCCCTAGTCTCTCCAGGACTTTTATCATGAAGTGATGTTGGATTTTGTCAAAGGCCTTTCTGCATCTTATGAGATTTATAAGAGGGATTATGTCTATCAATTTTGAGATTTACAAGAGGGATTATGTCTATCAATTTGCCGTTGTGGAACCATTTCTGCATCTCTGGGATGAAACATACTTGATCATGGTAGATGGTTGTTGATGTGTTGTTGGATTTAGTTTGCTATTATTCTATCGAGAACTTTTGCTTCTGTGTTTATAAAGGTCTGTAATTGTTGTGTCTTTGTGTGGTTTGCATATCATGGTAAAATTGTAAAAAATTCGGCAATGTTCTTTCAGTTTTGTGGAATAATTTCAGGAGTATTGGCATAATTCTTCTTTGGAGATCCTATAGAATTCTGTGCTGAATCCATTTGGCCCTGGCTTTTTTTTTTTTCCTGGTTGGGAGACTCTTAATCACTGCTTGTGTTTCATTAGGGGTTATAGGTCGGCTCAAATTGCTTACCTGATCTTGATTTAACTTTGGTAGGTCATATATATCAAGAGAATTGTCCATTTCTTTTGAGTTTTCCAGTTGGGTGGAGTACAAAGGATGCCCCTATGATTCTCTTGATTTCATTGGTGTCTGTTTTGATGTCCACCTTTTCGCCTTTAATTTTATTAATTTCAATCTTTTCTGTCTTTTGGTTAAGTTGGCTAAGGGTTTATCAATCTTACCGATTTTTCTCAATCAGCTATGTTTCATTGAATCTATGTATTTTGTTGTTTCTAATTGATTGATTTCAATCCTGAGTTTATTTCTTGCCATTTACTCCTTTTGGATGTTAATTCTTCTTCTTGTTCTAGAGCTTTCAGGTCTACCATTAGGTTACTAATGTGAGAGCTCTTCCGTTTTTTATGTAAGCATTTAGTGCTATGAACTTGCCTCTTAGTACTGTCTTTATTGTGTATAGCTTTGGGGATGTTGTATTTTTGTTTTCACTCAGTTCTAAGAAGTTTTTAAGTTCCTTCTTAACTTTTGTGCTACCCTCTTTTTCATTCAGTAATGCGTTGTTCAGTTTCTATGAGTTTGTCTATTTTTGTTGTTTCTATTGTTGTTGATATCCAGCTTTATCCTATGGTAGTAAGATGGGATTCATGGTGTTGTTTCATTTTTTTTAAATTATGTATACATAGTGTTCTACCTGCATATCTGCCTGCAGGCCAGAAGAGGATACCAGGTCTCGTTATAGATGGCTGTGAGCCACCATGTGGTTGCTGGGAATTGAACTCAGGACCCCTGGAAGAAAAGCTAGTGCTCTTTTTTTATTATAAAAATTTTTAATTTAATTATTAATTAAATTTTTATTTTGCATACCTGCCACACTTTCCCCTCCTTTCCTCCCATGCTTCCCCTCCCTGCCCCACCTCCCATCTACCCCCTCCCCATCCACTCCTCTTTCGTCCCTATTCAGAAAGGGACAGGCTCCCATGGGTGTGTCCAAAGCATGGCACATCAAGTTGAGGCAGGACCAAGTTCCTTCCCCTGCATCAAGGCTGGGCAAGGCATCTCTGCATAGTGAATAGGTTCCAAAAAGTCAGCTCAAGTGTTGGGAACAAGTTCTGATCTCACAGCTAGGAGCCCCACAAACAGACCAAGCCACACAACTGTCACACACATGCAGCGGGCCTAGGCTGGTCCCATGCAGGCTCCCTTACTGTTGTTGGTCCAACCGTCCATGAGCTCCCACGAGCTCAGGGTAGCTGTCTCTGTGGGTTCCCCTGTCAGGACCTTGACCTTCCTGATCTCACAGTCCTTCCTCCTTTTCTTCAAGAGGACTTTCAGAGCTCAGCCCAGTGCTTGACTGTGGGATTAGCTTCCATCAGTTACTGAATAAAGGTTATCTAATGACAATTAGGGTAGTCACCAATTTGGTTACAGTAGATGGCCAGTTCAGGTACCCTCTCCACTATTGCCAGGAGTCTTAGTTGGGGCCATCCTTGTGGATTCTTGGGAGTTCCTAACCCTGAAATACCCCTCCCCATCACGTTCCTCACTCTCCCTCTCCGTCCCGCCCCCAACCTGCCTTCTGTGCCCAGGTCTCTCAGCCCCATCCCTCATGTTCCCATCCCCCCATCTCTGCCCTGTCCCCCCCCATCCTCCCACCCCATTTTACCTGTTGGTCTCTTCTATTTCCCCTTCCCAGGGAAATCCATGCATCCCTCTTTGTACCCTCATTACGTATTATTTTCTGGGGCTGAGGATGCAGGTTGGCTATCCTATACTTTACTCCTAATATCCACTTATGAGTACATACCATGTTTGTCTTTTTGGGTCAGGATTACCTCAGTCAGAATTGTTGCCTGCGAACTTTGTGAAGTCATTGTTTCTACCACTGAGTAGTACTCCATTATGTAAATGTACCACATTTTCTTTATCCATTCTGCAGTTGAGGGGCATTTAGGTTGTTTCCAGGTTCTGGCTATTACGAATAATGCTGCTGTGAACATAGTTGAACAATGCTAGGAGGATTGCAATTCCACATTACAGAGCCATAACAAACAACAATAACAACAACATGTTACTGGCACAAAAACAGACATGTAGGCCAATGGGACAAAATCAGAGACTTAGACATGAATACACGTAACTTTAGTCACTTGACATTTGACAAAGATACCAAATACAAAAGCTGGAGATGAGCGAGCATCTTTAATAAATGGTAGAGAAAGCCAGATGTCCACATACAGAAAAATGAAATTCGACCTGTATCTCTCATCATGTACAAACAGAATTGCAAATTTATCAAAGACTTCAATATGAAACCTGGAACATGAAACTTCTAGAAAACATAGGCAGTGCTTTCCATCATGTAGGTGTAGGAAAGGACTTCCTGAATAGAACTCTGTTTCCTCAATAGTTAAGATTAACAACGGACAAGTGGAACATCATAAAACTTTAACACAGTTAAAGAAACAGCTGGATGAAGAGGAAGCCCACAGAGTGGGAAAGAATCTTTACAAGCTATACATCTAACAGAGGAATAATATTCAGAATATATAAAGAACTCAGAAACAAAGAATCAAAAAAATGTAAAAAAGGAGCCATTCCAAAAATGGTCCTGGAACCTGAACAGAGAGTTCTCAAAAGAAGACGACAATGGTTGAGAAATACTCAAATTGTTCATTGTCCCTAACGATTAGGGAAATGCAATTCAAAACAACTTGGAGATTCTTTCTTACCCTAGTAAGATTTAAAAAAAAAAAAACATGAACAACAAATCAAACATCAATAAAACAGGACAACAAATGCTGGAGGGGAAAAGGGAACCTAAATTCACTGTCAGAGGGATTGCAATCAGGTGCAGCCGCTGTGGAAATCCGTGTGGAGAATTCTCAAAAAGCTGAAAACTACTCTACCTACATGCTCTTTGGCATACGCCCAAAGGACTCAACTTCCTACTCTACTCCACTTGCTCAGCCATGGTCATCACTGCTCTATTCAAAGTAGCTGTGAAATGGAAACAACGCCAATGTCCTTCACCTGTCCAATACATAATGAAAAGGTTGCTCATATATACTGTAGGGTATTATTCATCTGTAAGGAAGAATGAAATCATTAATCTTATAGGTTAATGGGTGGAACTGGAAAATAACCTAGGGAGTGAATTAACCCTGACTCAGAAAGGCAAAGGTCTCATGTTCTGTCATTGAAGGCTCCTTGCTCCAAATCTTCAGATGTGAGTACCTGTCTTGGAGTAACTGCAGAAACCAGGAAAGCAAAAAACCAAAACAAAACAGAGACCTCTGTCAGGGCAGGGTGTGACGGAAGAAGGGGGGGGGGGGGAATAGCAGGTATCAGTGATCTGGCTGGTGAAATGGGAAAAGTGGGGAGGACTCCAGGGAGGGGGAGGGAGGTATGTAAGAGAATGGAGGATAAAATAACAGTAACGGTGTCTGGAAAGTTACAAGGAACCATACTATTAACCACTCCTCAGGCCTTTATTATCTCATGGCAAAGAGACAAATTAGTGTCTATTTACTCTAGCACATGGGGCCACCCTGGTCTTGGGTCCCTACCAGTGATGGCTGTTCCCCGTGGTCTTGCGTGTCTAGTGTTCTCTATGCATGCCTTCGGGGGAAGACTGTTGACTGTGGCTCTTCATTGGCATGGTGAGGACCATTCTGGGGTCTCTGCTCCCCAAGGATTTGGAAGCCATGGCCTTCCACCCAGAGAGCTTTCTCTTCCTCCCAAAGGGCATGCTCTTCCTCCCAGAGAGACTTTTTATCCTCCCACAGAGCCTTCTTTTCTGCAAGCAGGGCTCTTTCCTCTACCCACAAGGCCTTTTCCTCTTCCCATAGAGCCTTGTCTTCCTGAAGAAGATTCCGGTCTCTTTCCCGTAAAGCATTGTCCTCTCTCCAGAAGGCTTTGTCCTCTTTCCAGAAGGCTCTGTATTTTTTCCAGAAAGCCTTTTCTTCTTCCAGGAAAGATCTTTCCATTTCCCAGAAGGTTTTTTCTTCTCTCCAGAAGGTCTTCTCTTCTTCCCAGAATGGTCTTTCTTCCCCCTGGAAACCCAGGATCTGGCTCCGGAAAGCCCGGATCTTGCCTCGGAAATCCCATATCTCTTCCCGGAAGTCTTTTATTTTCTCATGGAAAATTTTCACCTCCTCTCGAAAAGCCTTTTCCTCTTGCACCTTGTGTATTAGTTTCTTCTGACGAATACTGGGTGGGGACAGCACCAGGGACCGGAGGCAAGCCAGCCCCATCCATTTGCTCACCTTGAAGGGAAACATCTTCCAGTCAGCCGGAACGGTGGGTGGCTGTGTTGGCGATCAGTCTGTTGGCCACGTCCAGGTCAGTTGGTCAAACCCTGTTTGTACCCAGAGAGAACACGTCCGTGAGTATGGAAGGCACCTGTCTGATAGTGGAAAATTTAATCACCGCTGTCTTCGTGACAGGCAAGACTTAGTACAGAAGAACGCTGGGTGGCCATGGCTCCAAGCTTCTTGATACATACAGGGATACAAGGTCTAGTGCTCCACAAACAATCTTGCCCAACAAAGACAGCAGTGCTAAACTCGGAACCAAAGTACACAAGGATGATGTGATAATTTGAGGTGGTTCGTGGCAGAAAAACTGGGGAGCGACAAAGAGATGATTGGTGAGCGACCGAGAAGGGCCTTAGAGGGGTTGGCAGTGTTCTGTTCCTTTGCTTGGGAAGTGGCTGCAAACACGTCATATATAAAAAAGGTTCATAAAAATATTTCACACCAGAAAGGGGAAGAGAAGAGAAAAAAGAGGAAGATGAGAGGGAATGGGAAGAGAAGAGGAAGGGGGTTAAGGGGAAGGAGAGAAGAGGACAGGGAGGGAAGGAAAAGGAAAGAGGAAGGAGGGGAGGAAAGAGGGAAACGGAGAGGATGAGGATTTTCAACACTTATATATCCAAGGTAGCATATATCAGGACAATCCACAATTCAGATAGCTACCAAGGCCATCGCAGGGCGAGAAAGACGAAGGCTTAGAGTGCAGGGAAAGCTGAAAATGCAGACAGTGTGTACACTCAGGTGCAGAGATCGCATTGTGTGCTTCTGGGAAGCAGGGGTTTGTCCTCAGTGACCCTCACCAAAGCACCACAGTGTAGAGCTGCATGAGACATTTGCAGGGGGTTTTCCAGACCTGCCCTGCGTTTTTCTTTCTCTTTTGGATTGGGATGAGAAAATAAAGAACCTCTCTCCCTCCTTCCCTCTCTCCTTCCCCCTCTTTTCCTTCCTCTTCTCTTCCTCTCTCCCTCCTACCTTCCCTCTTCCCTCTTCCCCCCACTGTGTGTGTCTTCATGCTCACTCACACTGGGTGGCTCACATGTTAAAGTTGTTGTAAGACACCTGGGAATTGGATGGTGAACCCCACCAATGGAAGGAGGGGTGTGTGTGTGTACATGATGCATATGCATACACAAAGAGATATTGGCTATGGTGTGTATGGCTGTTGACTTCCCTTCTCTCCAGTAACACAAACCAGAAACCTGAGGCTCACCTCTGATCTTCTCCTATACTAGGCTTCTCCTCAACCACCAAGCCCTATCAGTTCTAATTCTTTACATCTCTTGGAGGCAGGCACACATTTGCTGTTCCTTCTTCAGGGTAGGATGTCTTTTCCCCTCCTGCCTGGTGTCTGCTGTTGATCTTGCAGTCCAGATTCTCTGCCTACACAGTATAGCCTTCCTCTGTCCTGCATGGATTTCTAAAGATTTGTCCTGGTGCATCACACTTGCTTACAAGCAGTCAAAGACTCCACAGACTGCTGTCTGTCTCTTTGCTTCCTTCTGTCTCTCCACTCTGTTCCACGGGGCATATAGTGAGTTCTTTAGATACAACTTGAGCACTTTTACCTCTACACCAAAGCACCAATTGTGTCCCCTCAAAGGCTTCCTTCACCTTCTGGGGTGGGCTCCAGTTCTTGTTTCTCCTTCCTCTCTGTATCTGTCTGCCAGTGTCCTACCGTTACCTGACATACTTGACATTATGTATGGATGTGTCTTCCTGCCGTCTCTGTAACCTGGGAGCTAGTAAAGCAATGCTGGATGAATATAACTGAATTTAGAACTTTGATTTTGTTTATGTCATCGTATGGTTCTTGATCTAGAATCCCTGGAATATGCTAAGTTCTCCATTAGTCCCTTTTCCCTGGATAGCTTGAACTAATTGACCTGATTCTTTCAGATTTAGGCAAGGAGACCCCCTCTCCTCACAGCTGCTGAGACTCAGGGCCGCCCTCCTATCCAGTTAGTAGCCCCGTCTCCCATCCCTAGGCACAGTGCCTAGTGTAGTTTCTGCTTCAGAGTAGATGGTCAAGAAACAGCAGCTGAACTGACGGCAGTTTCTTGAATTAGAATATGAGAGGGAAAATCGCCCCCCAGTTTTTCTCCCGTTACCACTGTATTATCTTTGGGGGCGGGGCAGGGTCTGGCGAGGTGGCTGGTGAGGGTAAAAGCACTTGCTGCCAAGGCAAAAGACCTGTGTTTGGTTCCTGGAAGCCACATAATGGAAGGAGCAAGCCAACTCCTACAGGTTGTTGTCTGTCCTCCACACATGCACAGTGGCCACACTCCCATACCTATACACACAAACGAATGTAAAACAAATGCTCTTAACAGAAATAAAATCGGTAAAATCAAGTATAAACGCATTATATATCAAGAACAGTAGAAAACTACCTATATGTGTCTATGTAGATACTTTTAAATCCAATAAAAACATGCCTGGCCTTCATAACCTTACGAGGCTAGGACTTATTTTGAGGTTACTTACTGCTTAGCTGTTTCCCAACTGGGAAAGCTCCATAGCCCTCAGAGGGCAGGCAGTCTTTGTCACATCAGAATCCCAGTGATGCCTCTCTTGGGCCCACCTCTCTCCTCCTCACAGTGACCCCTTTGTACTCAGTTCTGAGTCACAGGGTGGGGGCTAAGATGGGGCCCTCAGTGAGAGACCTATGAAAGGAGAGAGCACCCAGAAGGTTGGAAAGATAGTGGCATCTTTCATCTTGGACTTCACCAATTGTAACTGTTACCTCAGATTCTGTTCAGGTTGTTTCTGGAAGGGCCTCTGGGACCATGCTTCACGGGGGCATATGTATGTGACGAAGGGCTCTTGTTGCTTGCTCTGTTTGTCTTTGTCATTTGGTAGTTTGACTAGGACCCAGCAAGAGTTTTCTGCCAGTGCTCAGATCATCTGCCGGGAAGCATGTAAACACGCTGAAACATGACGTGACGTTGATTTCCAACACAGTATATGCCTTTGGGTGGCTGTGTCTTAGACAGACACACATTTGCAGGCCATAGCAGGAAAGTCAGAGGCTTATCATCCACACAACATTCTTTGTGTGGATAGAGATTTTTTTTTATTATGTATACAATATCCTGTCTGCATGTGTGCCTGCAGGCCAGAAGAGAGCGCCAGACCTCTCATTACAGATGGTTGTGAGCCACCATGTGGTTGCTTGGAATTGAACTCAGGATCTTTGGAAGAGCAGGCAATGCTCTTAACCGCTAAGCCATCTCTCCAGCCCCTAGAGATTTTTTTTTTTTACTGTGGTTTTTGTTTGTTTTGCTTTTAGCGTGGTTTCTCTTTTTTCGTTTTGCTTGGTTTGGATAAGGTTGGTTTCAGTTTTATGACTGAATCTCTTTGCTTGCTTGATTAATTTGTATTGTTTCCTTTGTTGAGGGTATGGTAGTGATGAGGGGTGGTAAGGGAGGATTGGTAGTGATTATCATCAACTAGTGATTAGTGTTTACCATCGAGTCAGATCTCAAAACCTAGGCCAGGGTAGCCTGGAATTGACTATGACTTGTAGATTGACATTTTTTTTTTTTTTTGTCAAAAATCCTCCAGCCTCCCGTGGTAATGAGTTGCAATGCATGTGTAGACAGGTAAGAAGGAAATGTTACTTTTGTGGATTTGTCTCAGGTGAGGTCAATTGAGACCAAATGTGACCTTGAGCGTGGGTTCTGGCTGGGCTGCTTTGAGCTGCAGAACACAATGCCTTTCCCTTAAAGGTGCTGAAGACAGTGTTCTGAGCAGAGGACTGACCTCAACTCAGAGCTTGTATAGTGTGTATCCTTAGGGAGAGTTAGAATCAGGAAGTACCTGTCCATCAAGGCCGTCTCCAGCTATCTTGTCTTTGCAGATGTGGAGTTTAAAGAACAGGGACAACAGGCACACAGTTGCCGACTCGTGGCTCAAGGACATCAAACCCATACCAATTAAGATCCTGGGAGGACCCTTGCTCGATCTAGTGAAGTCAGGAATGGAGCATGAAGCAAAAGAGAGCTGTTGGAGAAGTCAGAAAGAGTTGATAGCGAGGAAATTATTACAACTGAGAGCCCAGCAGCCCATAGAGCCTGGGTAGCACCCAGGGAACAGAGGTTATGATATGACAGAGGAGGATGCAGCAGGGGATGCCCCAACAGAGTTACCAGAGCTTATGTTGGTTGGGGGAAAAACCCTATACAAAAGTTAGCCCTCTTCCAATCTAGTAGGCTCAAGACACACACACATCCCTGATCCTGCTAGCCAACAAAAAGATGCAAGCTGTTAGAACATCCAGTCAGTGTGAGACTGTGTCTTAAGTATGAAAGTTACCAAAAAAAAAAAAAAAGAGGCAGTGGGTGTTGACATGAATGGCTGTAAGCCAAAAGCCAGGGTGGAAATTGTGTGTGCACATACAAGTGTGTGTGTGTGTTTGTGTGTGTAGGTTTATGTTTGTGTGTGTTTGCGTTTTAGAGATATATGGGGGAGACAGAGACAAAGACAGAGAACATCTCGTTTCATGAGTTAGTCAATTCTAGTGTAACTGAATACACAACCCTCCGGAAACTGAGCTTCAGTACCTTATGGTAGTTGTCCCTATATATCAGGATGACAATCAGACCAAACACTTCAGCGACACAGGAATAGCTAAGATGGCAAGGCCTACAGATTGATTGTCTTACCTCTCAAGGGTCTTGTGATCATAAGGTGATGGTGTGTGTGCACAGTGTCTGTGTGGCACACCCGATGTGGTAGGTTTGAATGCCACTTGCATTTGTGGGTTTTTTTTTTTTTATTGAACAATAGGTATTTGGAAAAACCCCATGTCCTGGGCACAGGAAAACCTCTGAATATCCATAATTTCTATGACAATTTTAATGATAGAACTTGATAATATCAAAACATGACACTTAGAAGATAGGTGGGGACATTGAGGTTATGGGAAGTATCTACCAGATGCCACTGATTGACAAGGAGAAGAGAGGTGACCTCCTTAGAGTATTTCTCAGGGGCACACTTCATCGTTCAGAGTCCGCACTGAGCGGAGGCTATGGGCATGGAGGTGGGAGTCAAGGCATGGGAGGGAGGAGTTCTTAGTTTTGTTGCCTCTTCTGAAGTGAACATGAGCGATTACAGTCATCTCCGTAGTTCATTCTGGAGAGGAACATCCATTTCCACCCAGATTCTTTTCCCTCCCAAAAGAGGCCATCGTGTGACAACCCAGAGGCATCTGGACAGTCTGAACAGAGGTGGCATCTTCTCTCCAGGTGACGACTCAGTCCCCATCACTGTCCTCTGAAGACGAGGAGACCTGAAGGTCCTCATAGAGGACAGTCCATGGGACTTGGGAGTGTGTTTGTTCGCCATTCTCCTGAGAGGCAGGACACGCAGAAGGAGGTGTTTCCCTTTCAATGCCAAGTCCTGGGGCCGCTGTGATGAACCTGGAATTCCAGCAGTCACCAAAGATTCTGGTGAATTGCATTCTCAGGGGTTGGCCTGAAACATGGGCAACCGAAGACGTCTGGAAAAAACCAAAAAGGTCTGGATGAGAACAGAGAAGCTCTTGTTTGTAGGTATTCTTAGATGCCCTGCCTTGACCCTGACTCTCAGCATGGTCTTTTGGGTCAACTCTGTAGCCAACAGATTGGGAAGGAAGACGTTGGGACATGTAGGTTCCAGTAAGAGTTCTCCAATCAAAGTCTGGGTTCTAGAAGCAGCAGCAAGAAGCCGAGCCCTAATGGCAAGAGCAGAATCAGTGGACAGAGGGGAAAGGGGCCAGAAAGCTAACGGGGCAGGCTACGTTTGTAATACAGAGCTCTGAAAGAAGGAGGACCTGAGGCTGAGCTCCAAGGTCATGCTCAAGGACAAGTGAGGAAGACAAGGACAAGCTGCCTGTCCTCTAGGACAGGTGGTCTACAAGGAGGAGAACCACACAGCAGAGGCTCCCACGTCAAAACCCAAGTCAGTCTGAATTCCGGAAGTGTCCCAGGGAAACAATGCTGCTACACCAGAGAGGCCTATGATATCTGACGGGCACAGTGGATATGAGCTGAGCAAAGACCCGCCATGGCAGGCAAAGGGATGATGTTTCAGGGACCAGGAAGACAGAATTTCCTCAACAGGATCAGGTCTTTTACTCACCACCAAGTTGAAGTCTTGTTCCATCCTTGGACTATCCATGGGAAATTCCGTAAAGAGTGCCTTCCCCTGCCGCTCATCAGAACTGTGGGGCACACAATGGTGTGGGACACACATCAGCTTTTGTCTCAGAAGGAGAGATTACTTTCTAGATCTCTGGCCCCCTTTCAGATAGTTGGGGACAGAAGATGAGGTGTGGCTTCCTCATGAGCTCCGCTGTCACCTTCTCTCCTGCCAGCCCCTTCCATATGTACCCTGGCCCTCGGCCATCACTCACCTCTGTCTGGTGACTTGTTTCTGTTTCTTGTCTCTCTCAGCCTGGTTTATGGTTCCTGGTGTTGGGAGACCCAAGAGCCTGCAAGGATCCTGGTTCTCTTTCTCCTTCCTGGTTTTCAGAGGCTGTGGCACTAGGAGGTCATAGCCGCACTTGTTGGGGCACCTGCTGCTCCTCGAGGCATGACCAAAGGCCCCACAGTCCTTGCATTTCACCTATGCATGGCAAAGGAGATACCAGAGAGTCACAAAGGGATCTGGGGACCTCTCCACTCTCGGTCCTTGTCAATGTGCTTCAGTGTTCTCTCTCTAGAGAGGATACACAATGCACATGGGTTTCAACATCCAACGGTTGTTCTTTTGAACGTGGAAGAAACAAGCATACTTGAGAGGTGCCCAGGTGATGATAGTGAGCCCTTTATCAGACAAAGATCCTATCATGCTGAAGAGTAGCTGCACCTACCTCCCAGTCTCTCTTTAGGTCTATCAGCAGGACTAGTAATTCCCTTGCCTTGCTGTCTAATATGATCAGAATCGTGGATCACTGGGACAAGTGTTATAAGCCTGAGACCATAGTAGAAGCCCAGGTATTGGCACCACTGACTGCAGGATGGACATACCTACCATTCAGGCCATAGAACTCATTCCATTAATTCTACTGGGTGCCAAAATGAAAACAAAGTCCTAATCCATCCAAGTCCATAGTTGTGGCCAATGTATTGCCCTTGCCCCTTGGCTTTTGTTTTCTTCTTAGGGCCCACTGTTCTTGTTAACTGAAACAGATCAACTGAGAATTTGGTGCTTAATTAAAAGTTCATCTTGAGAAAGGCTCAGTGATCCACTGAGATAGGGACCACCCGGCACCTACTCTGCCTGCCCACTAATAAAGACTTTCTATTGGCTAATCCCATGTCTGAGCAGTCTTCTCTGGTGGATACCCCACAGTACAAAGATTCTGTCATAAACCCAATCCATGTGTCTCCTAGCCCCAGTGTCTTCTGACACATAGGCCTCCTCTTACTCTTGGGATCTCCTCTTCCAGTAGAGCCCATGGCCCTCTTGGCTTACCCTGGACACCCTAGGTTGGAATGGCTCTGTAACCCTGAATCTCCTTATGTGTCTCCTGACTCATTGCTAAATGTGAATCAGTCATCCGGAGCTGTTGCCTTGGATTTGCTGAATCTAAGGAAATGGGAGAGCAGAGCCAATGAAATCAAACTCCATGAGAAGAAGACGTGCCTGCTAATGGCCATTCAAACTCCATGAGAAGAACATGTGCCTGCTAATGGCTATCCAGCAATGATTCCTGTTTTGTGTTTCCACATCCCCAGCATATTCAACCAAGTGGGAACTTAGGAACTTGAAATTTGAATATTCTGGGGAAGTTTCACTTTAAGAAAGCGTTACTGGGCAGTGATTTCACATGACTTTTATCCCAGTCCTCAGTGAGGAGCAGGCGGTGCATACCTGTGAGTCTGGGGCCAGCCTGGCATACAGAGTGAGTTCCAGGACAGTCAGAGCTACACAGAGAAACACTGTCTTGAAAAATCAACAACAACAACAAAAACCCGCTGTCAAACTATCTTTATGGAAATATAGACTGAGCCCAAGTAAGCAGCCAGAAAACTCTCATCTTGATTATTCTTTTTCATAGACCTTGTCTGAACATGATTAGTTAAAAACTCAGAGGCAGAAATTGGGGTTCAACCTGAAGGTCAGAAAAGTAAAACAGCCAGCCACTGGCTCTTTCTTACCTCTCCCATAGTCCAAAATGGCAATCCTGCCTCCAAGAATCTCAGAATGAGACTGAGTCTGAGATCTGTCTGCTCCTGTTTTATAGCCCTCTCTGTTTCTGAGATTAAAGGCATACACTGCCTGGTTTCCCTAGTGTGGCTACTGGGATTAAAGGTGTGTGTTACCACTGACTGGTCTGTAAGGGTGACCAGTGGGGCTGCTTTACTCTTTGACCTTCAGGCAAGTTTTATTAATTAAAATACAAACGAAATGCCACTACCGTTGTCTCCCTGACTACAGAGCTGCCTGCTGTTCATGGGTTCCTTATCATCAGGAGCCTGGTAGACTGCTGATGGAAGCAATTCTCCTTGTAAGGATGTTTTGCTCCCCCCCCCCCCCCCCCCCCCCCCCCCCCCCCCCCCCCCGTCTGCTCCATGTGTGGACTGGTGGATCACCACTGCCGTTTGCTGACAGAGTGGGTTCAATTTCCCTGAGGTTCCATGCAGTTCCATGCAGGCTTTGGGTGCTTGTATTTCTCAAGCATTTTCCACTGCTCTAAGGAGATTTCTTTGGTTGCTCTACTCACCATGTGTTCCCACGGCTCTGCAGCTTTTCTGTCAATCAACAGATGCTCTCTTAACCATACTCTGGCATGTTTTCCCTTCCTGGTATATGGTGCCAAGAAGACCGTTTACTATCCCGGCTGTGGCATAGACACTATCCTTTTTGGGGTCAATCTGTTGAACATAAAGCACATAGGTAGGCCATTGAGGACAGAGTCACATCATACCCTGGGACCCCAGAATCATCCTGTTTTTACCAGTGGCCGTTGCCAGCTTTGACATAACAGAAGTAATGTCCACTGTGACAAGTCACACTGTCATGAACCAGCCCAGCATAGAAGGCATATACCAATGATTCCCTATAGGGTTGAGACATGTATGGCTGGAAGGGACTCAGGTTAACTCACTTCCCTCATTTCCCTGTCCTTGTTGTCACCTGTGAACTCTGAGAAGAGATTTAACACCATTAGGAGGACCTCTGAGGCAGCTTGCCCAGTCATGATCTTGGAAGTTTTCATCTTCTGACAATGGCCACATTGGTAGGCCTTTTCCCTACACAGCTCTTCCTCCTTCACTAAATCCTCCAAGGCTTGTTTCACACCCTGAGATGCTGGCAAGTTCATTTCTTCACTGGCATTAGAACATCTTCCTTTGGAATACCAGCATCTAGTGAAGACCAGCTGAGCCATCTAGCCTGGTGAAGGGAGAAGTGGGCATTTACGGAGGGAAAGGATCCTTCTGCCTGCTCACAGGACTCCAGTACCATATGTGGAAGCTCCCTGGGGACATGGAGGCTGCTAAGCTTCTCTCAGAAGGTGAGTCTCACAGTAAGTCAATATAGCTTACATGTCCTCAACCAAGGCTGTTAGCTCTGGAGTCTATCTGTGATCTTGTTCTTCCACAGATCCTGCCCTGTTATCTCCTGACCAACCAGCCCAGCATCAGGATGAAGTTCAGGTGTCAGTAGAGCTGGCTGCCAGGGGGAAGCACAGTCTGAGGTGGGAGAAATCCCATGGTGTGGGAGATTGGCTCCAGAACATGGGTACCAGCTGCTACCGGAGCTCCACCCTGCAGTGTCTGACACACCCCCCCTCTTATCAACTACATGCTGTCCCAGGTTCACTCTTGTAGGAGGAAGCCACTTGTTCTTCCCAGCTGTCTGGCCATCTTAGACCCAAAATAATCCTACAGAAACCATATTATTTAAATCACTGCTTGGCCCATTAGCTCTAGCTTCTTATTCACTAACTCTTACATATTAATTTAACCCATTTCTATTGATCTGTGTATTGCCACATGGCAGTGGCTTACCAGCAAAGTTTGGCATGTCTGACTCTGGCAGCAGCTCCATGGCATCTCTCTAACTCCTCCCTCCTTCTCCTATGCTATAGGTTATTCATTAACCAATAATAGCAACACATAGAAGGACCTCCCATACCACACTCTGAGCTACTATCACCAGGAAGGCTACATGATGTGTGCTATAGAAACTTATGTGACCCAGAGTCTCCTTTACTCCAGGGATGCCATCCAGTCCTCAGAGGAGTTGACTGCTGCCTTCCACAATCATAGGCAGGAAGATGCCCTTGAGTTTCTGATGTTCACCTTGAATGCCATGCATACATCCTATCTGCAATGAAGCAAGCACTTGGGATATACATCTGAGAAGAGCTCCCTGACCTAGCATTTACTCTGCTCTGCTGTACCCAGAACAGTAATAAAGGAGTTATCCATAGGCAGAAAAACAAAAAGCAACAAAGTCTGTATGAACATAGTGGATAAACAAATAACATAGTGAATTGATCTATCCAAGAGCAAGGATAATACTATGGGAAGAAGGTTGTTTACTTTGCTTAGGAAGGGAAAAAAGAGGAACTAGGCTTCAATGCTTCACAAGGAGATGAAATCCATATGATTGTGTCAACTTGGTGAGTTAATCTGGCCATCACCTCAAGAAGTAACTTAGGCATGGGCTGATGGCATTACATAAATGCCACTATATCTAACTAGATTTTTTTTAAATAATTAAATTTATTTATTTTCACATACTAATCTCAATTTCCCCTCCCTCCTCTACACCCACTCTCCCCTTTTCTCCAACACTCCACAATCTGCTCATCTGAGAGGGTAAAGCCTTCTCTGGGATGTCAACTAAATTTGTTCCGTCAGCCCATTGAGGCAGGACCAACCCCCCCCCCCCCCCGCCCCTGCCCTGCCTCTTGTGCTGAGACTGAGCAAGGTGTCTCTCAATAGAGAATGGGCTCCACAAAATCAGTTCATGCATTAGAGTTAGATCCTGGTCCCACTGCCAGTGGCCACAATTTCCAAAGAAATGAGGAGACAACAAAATCCCAAATGTTTTAATTGTGGTACAATAGGACATCTGAGAAGAGATTGTAGACAAGGGATTCCTAGGAATAATATCTCCTCTGGGAATGGCAAGAATAGGAGGACTCAGCCTTCAGGTATATGTAGGAAGTGTGGCAAAGGTTGACATTGGACCAATAAATGTTCAACAAAAGACAAGACAATCCAATACCTTCAGGAAACTCCTCAGGGGGCTTCTTGTAGGCCCCCATGATAAACGTGGTATAATCATTTCCAGTTACTGTGGAAAACAAGTCTCACCAGGAAAATCTAAAAATCCAGCGCCTACTGTAAAAAAGCATACTGGTCTGAATGATGGAATAGACATGGAGGATGAATCAAAAACTCCAGTAGGACATAGGAAGCATATATTCTGGCAGACTTCTATAAATGATCAAAGACCAAAGCTAAGAGTGTGTATAGATGTCATTGTTATTGAAGACTTGATAGACACAGATGCAGATGTAAGTATCATTACTCCAGAATCTTGGCATCCAAATTGACCTCTTCAAGAGGCAGGTGTTCAGTTCCTAGGAATTGAAACCTTATCTCAAGTGAAACAAAGAATGAGATAGGTTGAATATATAGGGCCAGAAGGACATAGAGGAAGGCTCAGGCCATATGTAGCTAATCTTGCAGTAAATTTGTGAGGTCATGACCTATTGTAGCAATGGAATGCTCAGATTAACATTCCTGCAGCTCCCCCAAAACTCATGTTTCTGGGGAAGATATTAGAAGATGTTATAGACAAAGGTCACCAGCCATTCATACTTACAAGAACACAAAGCAATTGACAAACCTTCAGAGGTACTAATGGCCCTACCTTTAAAATGGTTAACTGAGAAACCAGTATGAGTTAAACAGTGGCCTTTAACAAAAGAAAAGCTGCAGACTTTAGAATAGCTGGTGCAAGAGCAACTAGATGCTCACCATATTGAAGAATCTACTAGCCCTTGAATTCTCCTGTATTTGTTGTTGAAAAGAAATCTAGAAAATGGAGAATGGCGACAGATCTTAGAGCTATCAAGAAGGTTATTCAACCTATGGGCCCTCCACAATCTGGGATTCCTCTGCCTTCTGTATCAAAAGGGCGGCCTCTCCTAGTTATTGATTTAAAGGATTGTTTCTTCACTATACTTTTACAAGAAAAGGCTAGAGAAAAATTTGCCTTCACGGTGTCTACTTACAATAATTCTCGGCCTACTAGGAGAACCAATGGACCATCCTCTCACAGAAAATGCTCAATAGCCCCACCCTGTGCCAATACTTTGTCAGTCAGCCACTGAAAATAATACGTAAGCATTTTCCTAAGTCTACCATTTCCTAAATCTACCATTACATGGATAACATTTTGTTATGAGATTCAAATTCAGTTACTTTAAAAAAAATGTTTGAAAAAGTAAAAGTTTTGCCTAAATGGGAATTACAAATTGCCCCTAAAAAGATTCAAAGAGGAAATTCTGTTAATTATGTAGGTTACAGAATATGTTTACAGAAAATTAGAACACAAAAGGCACAAATTTGGAGAAACCGATTGCAGACTTTAATGACTGTCAAAGATTGTTAGGAGATATTTCCAGTCTACGACTGGCTGTTGGGATAACAGCTAATCTAATAATTCATTGAAACAAAATCTTAGATGGTGACAAAGACTTAAATAGTCCCATAGAATTAACAGATGAAGTGAAAAAGGAATTGATAATTGTTGAGGAGAAATTACAGGAGGTACACATAGATAGGATGAATCCAAATCTTAATTGTATTCTAAGTCATATTGTCTTCCAGAATTTCTCCTACAGAAATTTTAATACAGAGGGATGTTATTATCTTAAAATAGATCTTTTACCACATAAACCAAGTAAAAAGTTAAAAACTTATGTGGAAAAAGTCTTTGAATTAATTATAAAAGGTAAATTGAGACTACCTCAGTTAGCAGTATACACCCAACAGAGATTATAGTGTTTTTTACTACTAATAAAATAAAAAAGTTATGAAAAGACAATGAACCGTGGCAAAGAACTTGTGTTATTTTTTTGGGGAGAAATTAATAGCAATTATCCTAAAAGTGATAGACTTAGCCTTATAAAGAGAACTTCTTGGATTCTTCTCCAAACTACGTGATGCACCAATATCTGGAGCCTGCTTATTTTATACTGATGCAAATAAATCAGGGAAGGCAGGTTACAAATCAAAAGAATTAAGGAAGGTGGAACTAAGCACTTATAATTCTGTCTAGAAGGCAATATTATATGCTATTTTTATGGTACTAAGAGATTTTAAAGAATCTCTTAATATAGTTACTGATTCACAATATGCAAAAAGAGTTGTCCTACATATTAAGACCACTAAATTTATACCAGATAATACAAAATTAACTATCAGAGATTTAAAAAAGGAAAAATCAAATGGGATAATAATTTAGTGAGAACTTCTTCACACTAATAATAATAGTAGGTAGTAGAGTGAATACTTGTGAGTTATTACTTATGGATAAATTTACATTAGTATAGTTTTTGTATATTGATGAAGTTCAAATTATACTTGTTTCTGATTACAATATTTGTGAACTTATGCAAAGTTATTCTGTCAGATTGTATGCATGCACGTTTCTACCTCTGTTTAAGACATTTTGTATATTGATACAGTTTTTAGGATATATTTTCATATTGCATTATATACTATTCTTACCTCTGATCAAGATACTTATACATTGTTTACATTTTGAGTTCATTGTCTTTGTTTGCTACACATTTGTTTACAATTTATTTAATATTTTGATATAAAGTCTTAGTCTTTAAGTTATGCAGGTATTACATATTATAGGTTAATAGTTATTCATGTTTTTTATACATATAGTCAGATTAATTAGGATCTTCAGATACATAGAAATTGTATTCTGCCTAGATAGGTAATCTTCAACTACTTCAAGGATCTGTAAAACATAGCATTTAAGTAACTTAGGGTTCTGTTGACACGAGATATGATTGCTCCTGACAGCACTAATCTATTCCCAAGAGAATGTTGAGCACCGAAGACACTCCCCACCCTTCTCTCCCTTCCTTCTACTCCCCTCCCTCTTTCCCTTTCCCACCGCATCCACACTACCATCCTTGCTCTGCTTGCTTCCCCCTCCCCTACCTTTACCTCTCTCTCCTTGTACCTTTCATGCTACCTCCATCTTGGCCGTTGTCTCTAACTACCCCACGCACACCAGCCCAGGTAGAGAACATGCTCAAAGTCAGTGTCTTACTTAGCGTTTCTATTGCTGCAATGAAATACTATGACCCAAATGCAAGTTGGGGAGGAAAGGGTTTATTCAGCTTATGCCTCTATATTGCTGTCCACCATTGAAGAAGTCAGTACAGGAACTCAAACAGGGCAGGATCCTGGAGGCAGGAGCTGACACAGAAGCCTTGGAGAGGAGCTGCTTTCTGGCTTGCTTTCCCTAGCTTATTCAACCTGCTTTTTTTTTTTTTTTTTTTTTTTTTTTTTTTTTTTATAGAACCCAGGGCCAACAGCTCAAGGCTGATACCACCCACTTGGGCTGGACCTTCCCTCATTGAGTCACTAATTGAGAAAATGCCCTACAGCACTAGTATGTGGTTAATCACAGCTGATTCTTCAGCCTCTGCTAACCAGAACCACAGAATCTTTATTCAAAATAACAAAAGGCTTTGCGAGAATCTTTAAACTTTCCTCTGAAACTTCACAAGCCAGGCCTTAGTCTTCTGGTTGCTCTTAACATTCTTGAGTTTCAAGGTCCTAACGAACACCCCCACTGAGCTCTTAACACTCAGTTATTCTTCTAGCCCAAAGTCCCAAAGTCATTCCACAATTATCCCCAAATCATGACCAGGGTTGTCCCAGCAACACCCCAGTATACTGGTACCAGGTTTTCTTAGGGTTTCTTCTATTCCATAACCAAAAAGCAAGTTTGGGAGGGAAGGGTCCAAGAATAAAAATATAAAAATGTGGACTCCAGAAATAGGAATGTAAAAATAAAGAAATATGATGAAGTTATAAGCCTAGGAGAATGAGAACAGAGTGTCAGCAGCTTTCTTAGCAGCTTGAGGATTAACTATTCACAGTGGGTTACTCCACTTTATAACCCATAGCTCTATTTACAAGGCCAAAGCATCTCTCCTCAAACCGAGAGCTAGCCTACGGATATGAGTCAACTTTTAGAAAATAGTTATATGACCTCTGGGTTAGGCATTATCCCTGCTATGTTAAACCGGCAGCATCAAGCAGATGGCAAGGGCTTCAGGAAACACCACCTGAGGTTAAGTACACACAGTTTAACTAAAAAACTGTTAATGGAGATTGTAAAGTAAGGCGATCTGTATCTGAGATTTACCTTAAAATTGTAAAAATTTCTTTGTTCAGACCTACTGCTTGGTGCCTAGTATAAAAGAGTGGATTCAGAAACCTGCCTTTGCCGCAGCCTTACCTCCCCACCCCAAAAAAATCTGGCTGTGGTCTCAGCTGATAACTTTTTGTGCCCCATGGAGATTTTTTATTTAATTTTTAAAAATTTTTTTCCTGGATTCTGGAATAAAGTTTGTGTCTGGTTTATTAGACGTTGGTGGTCTGTCCCTATCTTTGCGCAATCCTCCTGAATCCAACAGGAGGAGTGGGTTTACTCAGCTTACTCTACGTTGCTGTTTACCTCTGAAGGACATCAGGACAGGAACTTAAAAGGAGCAGGTTCCTAGAGGCAGGAGCTGAAGCAGAGGCCTTGGAGAAGTGCTGCTTCCTGGCTTGCTGTCCCTGGCTTTCTCAGAGGGCTTTCTTATAGAACCCAGGGCCATCAGCCCAGGGATAGCACCACTCACCATGGCTGGGACCCTCCCCCATTGATCAGGAATTGAGAAAATGCCTTACAGCTGGATCTCAGGGAGGCATTTTGTCAACTAAGCTCCTTCCTCTCTGGTGACTCTAGCTTGGGTCAAGGTAACACACAAAATCCACCAGCACTGTCAGGATGGTTCAAAGGATCTTGCCTCAGAAACAAACACAACAGTAGCCTTTGCTACCTAAACATTCATCTTATCTTTTTGAAGTGGGAGTCAGCAAGATTTTTGAAGGGAATCAGTACAGTTTATACCACAAAGTAAACTCCAGGGAACCCTAGCCTAGGACTTAGACCTATTTCATGATAAACACTAATTATCTTAGAATTTTTGTTTAAATATTCATTATTCTAATTTTAATCATTTTGTGAAACTTATTACCAGACTTCTTCCACCTTCTTATTTATTACTATTATTATTATTACTATTATTATTGTTGTTGTTGTTTGAGACACGGTTTCTCTATGTGTAATTCTGGCTTTCCTGAAACTATCTCTGTAGTCCAAATTGGCCTCTAACTCACAGAGATCCATCAGCCTCTGCCTCACCGAAGCTGAGATTAAAGGTATATGCCACCACCACCTGCCTAATTTTGGCCCTTTCTTAGGGAGTAAAACAAAGCAGACAAACAAACAAAAAACAAACAAAACAACAACAAAAAAAAGGAGAAAAACAAAAAAAGAAAAGAAAAGAAACCACACAAGGAAAGTGCCAAGTGCTGGCAAAGGTGGAAGCTGGAGACCTGGATGTGGGATTCCTCACTAGCTGGATGGCATAAAGGCACCAGTATGCTGGTTTGTAGGCAGGGCCCAGAGGCCACGTTGAGTTATGGGTTGGCACCTTAAACCCTTCAGTAAGGCACCAAGACCCTTCCCCTGCCTGAGATCTCCTCACCTGAGATGGCCAGGAGCTCCTACAGTCAGAGGCTGCCTTAATCACAGATTATGTCCCCCTCTTCAGGGTCCTGCATGTGAGGTCCCCTAGAAGTCAAAGTTCAGCAGCTCTGTTGAGTGGGGGAGGAGAGGTCTCTCTGAAATACTGCAGGGAGGAGGAGGCGTCAAAAGGAAATGTGGATTTGGGGGAATCTAACCAAACACCTATTTTCCACGGCAAGCCAAAGAAAGGTCCGTGATTGTCCTAGCCTACCAGCCATGGGGGAGACAGTAACATTTGTTTGTTTTTCTTCACAGATGTCATCTATCTTATCGTTGATTATACCTCCTTTTTGCTTTAAGAAAATTGAAATCCCCTACCCAGGGAATAAGACCAAAAGAAAAAACAAAACAAAACAAGATTGCCCTAGGCCTGAGTGTGGAAAGGATGAACTTCTCCCAACTCTCTTCATATATTCTTGCCTCACCAAATTCCAAAGACCTAACAGCAACCCTGCACGCATGAATGCCTCTTGTCCACTGCAAAATACTTCCCACCTGGCCAGCACCCTAACTAATCTACTGGCTACACCTCTCCTGGCTACACCTCTCCTGATTAATAACTCTCTGGCACGGCCATCTCTGTAAATCTGTACATAATTCAAACTAGTCAACCGGCACCTTCCACGAGGACACAGGTTCACCACGCACCCTTTCTCCTCAAAAAACATGACTCTCATAGCCTAGCTGGTTCACTGTGGTGTGCTGAGTTAGCTGTGTGCTTCTGCCTTGTGGTGGGAAGATATTTTACTGTTTGATCTCATACCTCTCTGGTGTGGGGATGTATAAGACAGGGATCTCTTACTCAGGAGTGGGGTTACTAGGGAGTGATCAGGATAGAGGGATGCTTGAACCATGAAGCATCTGAGAAGCCTGCTTAGAGCAACTTGTGTGCAGATTGACAGCCAGAGGCCAGCAGCCTTGCCAGTGCCTGGGAAGCACAGCTGTACTTCTGGGCGACAAGTTTGACCTTGAAAATCTAAGTGAAGGAACAAAGGGTCTGGAGGTCAAAGGGAGAAGAAATATTTGAGAAACATCCTCCCCCTGTTTCACTCCAGCTCCCAAGAGCAAATTGTTGTCTCCAGAGTGTCAAACGTAAGGTTAGTTCTGTGAAATTAGGCTTTCTCTTTTCTCACCTAAGATGTGGACTAGAGGCATGTCGTCTTCCTACCTTAAAGATCCTGGGTAGAGGTGGATCGTCCTGCCTCAAATTAAGGAAAAAAAAATCTCTTACAGGTGGCCGCCATGTTTGGATTTTAGATAGTTTCAGATGTAGTTACCTCGACAATCAAGGATAGGGTTGAGGGAAAACAGTCATTTAGGGAACAAGCAAACAAGCTGCAGAAAGGAATGTTACCACAGGGGCATTGCCTCTGCCATCTTGGAAGCTAGTTCAAAACCAGGGTCCTGTCCATTTGTTGCCCCACCCACCACTGAAGTGAAAGTCTTGGCGCGCACGTCTACAGACCTTTCTGCTTTGGCTGTTGTGTAGATTTGTCTTAAAAGGAACGCCAAACTTTGAGGTGGGAAGATGGAAGGCTTTAACTTTCATCATGACTCCGGAAGACATACACCTGATGGGATTTTTTTTTTTTTTTTAAATTTGCTTTTTTGAGACAGGGTTCCAGCCCTGGCTGCCCTGAAACTCACAGAGATACCCTGCCTCTGCCTCCTGAGTGCTCGGATTAAAGGTGCGAGCCACCAACTCCAGGCTTTGATTGGGATTGTAAGGAGAAAAGACACACCTTTACTCTGGGCCACACCTTCTGTTGGAAGCCTACTTAAGAACCTGGAAGAAGGAAGCTTTTGACTTTTCCTGCTTGCTCCTACCCTGCTAGCAAGTCCATTCGTCCTCTGGCGTCAGAGACTCTTCCTTTGGGATGTCAGCATCTGATGAAGACCAGCGGAGCCAGCTAGCCTGCTTAAATGAAGAAGTGAGCTTCTACGAGAGGGAAAGCATCCTGCCTGCTGAAAGGACACCAGTTCCATATATGGAGAAGGACGCTGGGGACATAGAGTCTGCTAAGCTGTTCTTAGAAGGTGAGTCCCACAGTAAGTCAATATAGCTTACATGTCCTCAACCAAGGCTGTTAGCTCTGGAGTCTATCTGTGATCTTGTTCTCCCACAGATCCTGCCCTGTCATCTCCTGACCAACCAGCCCAGCATCAAGATGAAGCTCAGGTGTCAGCAGCAGAGCTGGCTGCCAGGGGGAAGCACAGTCTGAGGTGGGAGAAGCCCTATGACGTGGGAGCTGGGCTCCAGAACACGGGGAACAGCTGCTACCTGAATGCTGCCCTGCAGTGCCTGACACACACACCACCTCTTGTCAACTGCCTGCTGTCCTGGGAGCACTCTCAGAAACGTTGTAACCAAGGAAGCTGCATGATGTGTGCTATGAAATATCACGTGTCCCGCAGTCTCCTCCGCGCGAGGGGTGTCATGCGGCCTTCAAGGGCGCTGACTGGTGCCTTCCATAAGGACAAGCAGGAAGATGCCCATGAGTTTCTGATGTTCATCTTGAATGCCATGCACACATCCTGTCTCCAAGAAAGCAAGGACTCGGGGTCCACATCTGAGCACAGCACCCTCATCCGTGAGATATTTGGAGGCTCCTGGAGATCTCAGATCAAGTGTCACCGCTGCCAGGAAACCACAAACATTTTAGAGCCTTTCCTTGACATCACCCTGGATATCAAAGCAGCTCAGAGTGTGGAGCAAGCCTTGGAGGCTTTAGTAAAGGAGGAAGAGCTGAGTGGGGAAAATGCCTACCACTGCGGCCACTGTCAGGAGAAGACGGCAGCTTCCAAGACTCTGACTGTGCAGGATGCCCCAAAGGTTCTCCTGCTGGTGTTGAATCGCTTCTCAGAGTTCACAGGTGACAACAAGACCAGGGAAGTGAGCTACCCTGAGTCCCTTTATTTCCAGCCATACGTATCTCAGTCCAGTGGAGGCCCATTGGTGTATGCCCTGTATGCTGTGCTGGTCCATAATGGTCAGACTTGTCATAGCGGCCATTACTTTTGTTATGTCAAAGCTGGCAATGGCCAATGGTATGAGATGGATGATTGTACTGTCAACAGATGTGATGTGATTTTGGTCCTGAGGCAGCCTGCCTATGTGCTCTTCTACATCCAGCAGACTGCTCTCACAGGGAGTGCTGTGGATGCTCCCACGGGCAGAGTAAGCAGGGATCTTTGCCCAGAATCCCAGGTAGGAACATCCGGGCAGAGAATGACCAGCAGAGGGTTCACCATAGAAATGTCAGAGCCGCTAGATTTCACAAAGGAAAGAGATACCAACGATTTCTTAGACCAGTGCAATATGTTTTCTGACTACCCAAGCCTGTGGTGAATCTTGGCAAAACCGGATTCACTCTGTCAGCCAAATGGAGTTGTGATTCTCCAGTCCACATACAGAGAGTGAACTGGGGGAGGCACCATCCCCATCACGACAGGAAGAATCACCCCGGTCAACATTCTGCCAGGCTTCTGTCTCATCTGGGGATCGATCACGGACACACTGGGCAGCTCTGTAGTGAGGGTGGTAGACCAAGATCTAAGAAGCAGATAAACTAAGGTAGGAGGCATCTGGCTGTTTTCTAGGTCTCACCTCACTCCCTGCCCCTGGGATCTGTGATCTTGAAGGTAACTTTGGAGAGAGAGAGAGAGAGATGGGAACCTGTGCTCTAGGCAGGACAGAATTTCTCACCCTGAAGGTTCACTCCACCTTCCCCTGTGTCCTCCACTGTTGTTCCTGCGACCCTAGGAAAGTCACTTTGGACATGAAAGAGACCGCTCAGAGATCTGGTCTAGTTAACCCTCAGTAGTCTTTTGTATTTGGGAGGTGATGTCTTGTAGCGCCCCCTACTGGAGCTCATGGACCCAAAGTAGGGTAGATGCTGCCACCCACAAGTTTTATATTTAGGATTTCCTCTCAGCCAAGGAGGTGCTGGCCAGACCCACTTTTAAAGCTAATTCCTTTTTAAAAACCTTTCTCTCGGTTTTACTGAATAGAACACATTGGGGGGATAGTTTTATTCATTGTGTTTGAACTACAGTTCTTTTACCAAATAAAATCTGTTACTTGACACTCTCTGTCCTTATTTATTTGTTTGTTTGTTTGTTTGTTTGTTTATTTTTGAGACAGGGTTTTCTGTAGCTTTGGAGCCTATCCTGTAACTAGGTCTTGTAGACCAGGCTGGTCTTGAACTCACAGAAATTCGCCTGCCTCTGCCTCCCGAGTGCTAGGATTAAAGGCCTGCGCCACCACTGCCCGGCTTCTCTGTCCTTTCTTTTGTCTTGAAGGATAATTGATATTGAATATTATTCAAATTGAAGTATTTCCTGAAAATTTACCTCATGTATATTGAAACTAGTTCACCTGCCAGAATTAGTTACTAATTCTGGATTTCTACTCAGCCGCGGAGTGGCTTCCCCAAACTGACTTACACTAAACTTTGCAGCTAGTGAAACGGTGGATGGCTTCCTTGAGTCTTTTTTTTTTTTCACCTGAATTGCAACCGTCCCCCGTCCGCCCGCCCCCCCCCCCCCCCCCCCCCCCCGCCACTAAACAGCAGTTGATTCTTTTGTCCACCTTGTATGGAAATAGCTTTTCTCTTAGCCTTACCAAACAGCTCATCTTGGCAGGAATCAGAGATTTAGAGAAAACCACAAGTGTCATAAAACATGTCTTCTGTCTTAAGACACTTGGCTCCAATGCTTACACCAACAGCTTTAGGGGAGTGAAAAGAATCTGCGTGGATTCGGATGCTCCTCTCCAGAATGGATAAGGAGTTGACTGTAATCTCTCACGTTCCCGTCCAAATGGCAACAGTGCTGAGAACTCCTCCCATGCCTTGACTCACATCTCCATCGTCGGCATCACCTCAGTGTGGACTCTGAAGTGTGCTGCTGAGAAGCACTCTCGAAAGGTTCACCTGTCCTTTCCATTGCCACCATTGGGAACCTTTATAAGATCCTTTAGATGCAGGGCGGTGGTGGCGCACACCTTTAATCCCAGCACTCGGGAGGCAGAGGCAGGCGGATCTCTGTGAGTTCGAGACCAGCCTGGTCTACAAGAGCTAGTTCCAGGACAGGCACCAAAGCTACAGAGAAGCCTTGTCTCAAAAAACAAAACAAAACAAAAGAATCCTTTAGATGACCTCAATGTTCATAACTATCTTGTTGTCAAATGGTGTGACATTATTAACTTATAGCATTAACTATCCTAGTAATTATGTATATACAGGGCTTTTCTTGTGGATCACATGGGGTTATTCACACTACCAATGTATGGTTCAATAACTTACTGCAAACTCTAGTGGCTCAACCTACCTCATCAGATGCCACACAGACACTGTGCACACCTACATCCACCTTGTGGTCATAAGACCACTGCGAGGTAGGACAATCTGTACAGCTCCCTGTCCAAACAAGTGCTGTCTTGCTGAACCTTTGGCCTGATTGACATTCTGAAATCTAGCTACAACTATCACAAAGTATGTCACTCTGGGCATTCAAGCTCAGTTACCCTAGTTGACAGAAGCAAAATAAAAGCAGTTAGTCAAATCATAACAAGCAGAGAGTCCGTGGTTGTACATTTTCAGATGGGGTTTACTGAGTCGGGTGTCCTGTGAACTTATCTTCCAGGGCCTGGAGTCAGAGTCAAATGGCTGGTGGGCACCAAGATGGATGCCCGGCATAAAATGGAGCTTTTCTAGCCGTACCACCCCCAACTTTCAACCCTGAATGGAGACAATGCCTCATCTCTTCCTGAGGAGCGAATGGCTGTTGGCAGTTATTAGAGACAGCGATATCATTTCTTCTAATGGTGTAAACACTGGAGGACTAGCGTGTGGGAGAATGGGTTCTGAAGGGAAGGCAGGAGGTTGCTAGGATGGGGAAAATATGATAATAATAATACATTGTATATAAGTATGAAACTATAAAAATAGATTTTAAAAGAAAAATAGCACTGTGATACACATTTGTCTTCAGAGCTTCATCAAGTGGGGATCAGAGATAGGAGCTTGGGCAACATGAGCTGAAATCACGCTGCAGATGAGAAGCGTTGTCTTAAGAAGATCAAAGAGGAAGGCATCTCGACTAACAAAACACACCTGTTGGCATTTTTATATGATTAAACTCTCAGATACATTAAATTCCAGGGAAAAATTAGCTTGGAAAATTTAAGATTATTTTTTTACCAAGCTTTCACAGCTGTTTATAAAACTTTTTAAAGGTAAAATTATGGACTTTCTTCCCAATGATGACTCATCTGGATTTGCACATAGACACATAAATTCTCGTGTGTGTGGTGTGGTGTGTGTGTATTTGTGGTATGTATGTGTGCACATGCAGGCACACACAAGAGCTTGCGTATATTTGTCAGAACACGTGTGACATTCATGTGGTGGCCAGAAGAGATCTCAGCTGTTATTTTTTCAGGTCTTACCCTCTCTTTTTGAGACAGGGTTTCTCAGTGGTGTGTCGCTGGCACATCTGATAGCCTGCCCTGTCACTGAGCCCCACCTCCCCAGACCTGGGATTACAGCTATGGGCCTGCAAATACCTGGCTTTTAAATGTGTGCGCTGATGACTGAACTCATGTCCTCGTGTTTCCAGGGAGTCAGTCACATTACGGATAGACCTATCTCCTGTGCCCCCATAATACTCTCAAATATAACCTCTTGACAGAGACAAGTTTGTTTTAAAAACTGATTTTAGCTTCGTAATTATTCTCTGTTGGAGTTATGTGTGGATTTAGCTCCTGTTTTAGGATACTAGTTTATTATTTAAGAGATAAACTCAGTTAATGGCATCACTCTAAAACATTTCCATTGTTCACGTTTGGCTCCAACGGACTTTTACTATTGCGGATTACAGTACTCTTTCCTTTTCCCAAGTGTGTTACTTGCTCATTAGGATATATCTGTCCAGACAGGATCCAATCACAGGATAGTCAGCAATGCCTTCATAGAAAGAGTTTACAGAGAAAAGGGGGTGGAGCTGGGGTGCCATACCAAAAAGAGCAGGATACAAAGGAATGCGCACTGAATGGCATTTCCACTAGATGGCGCCATTGACTATCTTCTGATCCTTTGAAATGTAAACTGTCTAGAGAATTCTAAAATCAAAACGGAGCAATCAAAATGTGAAGAAAAAAATTCAAATGGTATTATCAGGTTGAATTTTGTAAACCACACTTGCTTCTTGAAATCGGGCCTATGCTCATTAACTCGATGTCTGACACCACCAAATTTAAAGTTTTGCAAAGCCATTGTTTTAAATACAGACCAAACAAGCTTGATTTTATGTCAGGGTACACAAATCCCTGGCCTTCCAATTTTGTCAAATTAGGGCAAAGGGCAGGCCGGAGCGTGCTATCTTGTGTGTGTGTGTGTGTGTGTGTGTGTGTGTGTGTGTGTGATGGAGCGCGGGCTCACCAGCGGCCTGAGCTTTCTTTCTCAGCAGATTGTTTTAACCTGTTCTTCCACTCAGCTGACCACATTTCCTCCTAAGACATGTCCCACCTTTGTGAGCGGCCTTCCTTGTCCCATCCCCACACAGAACACTATTTACCGGGCATGCTAAGGACATGAGACACAAAAGCCAGACGTCTGTGTTATGAATGTAGCAAGTCAGAAACTGAAGGCGGGCTCATCTGTAGTGAGACACTGTGCTCATGACTTCTGAGAACTAAGCTGTCTGCATGGGCTGTGTTGTAAGTTCTCTATACGTGGCCTGGGTGAAACATATCTACTCTACAGCCAACCTGAATTTTGATGTGAGCTCCACTCTCTATGGAACGCCGTGTTCTAGGCCACACAGCATATGGAAGGCAGCCTAAACAATGCCTCGCAACACTTGACAGGGCTACAGCTGAAGCTATTGGTGTCTTGCAAGTAGCCATTTACTGCGAGGGTCAAGTTCCCTCTAATCACATCTATCAGACACTGGGGGAGAAGAAAGACCCATTGTCAAAGATCTGCTTAAAGCTAGGGAGAGAACTAGAGAAATCAGTTGGGCTTCCATCTTTTCCTGTTTTTACATGTTTTCTTACTTTGATCAGCCAATAAAAGAGCCCATAGACTTTCTTTTTCTTTTTCTTTTTTTCTTTTTCTTCTTGCCAGAAACAGAGTGTATAGGATTTACAGGACATAGTGTCGAGAAAGTCCAGAGAGCTTTGTTGGGAGATTCTGCCTGGGAGATGGTGTTGAGAATTCAACCCTGGGAGTTGGTGTTGAGAATTCAGTGTTTCTTTCTTTTTCTGCAGCACAGCGGTGTTAAGTCAGCCCGACAGCCCCCGATCTTTTCTTCAAAGGTAAGGCAGTCAATCGCACAGTGACCATCCAGCTTTGAACAGAGATGCTGTCTGTAGAACGAGGCACTGTCTAGGGGAAGAGAGTGGCTGTTAGTCATCTACTAATCTACCAGGCCAAAAAGCAAATTCTTAATTACTAAATCTGGGGGATGGGGAGGCCAGACTCCTGGTAAATCATATGCAATGCCCTCACTCATCATTTCCAAAAGACGCAGGTCATTCCCCTGCTCAAATCAGCCGGCTTACACCAAAAGAGAATGTCTCTTCCTAGGAAGGTGGCAAGCCGCTTTCCAACTCCAACAAACAAACCTTTCCAACACAATGTTTCTTCTTGGTATTTCTAGTAGTGTCTGACAGAGATCAAAATTTACAAAACAGTACAATTTAGTTCAAAATTTAAAAGCAGTGCAAAATATTATAGGCAGATCAACAGTAAACCGTGCCCATTTATTGTAAGATCTTTAAGTTTCAGATAACAACGCTCTCAATATTGCCACTGGCAGAAAAGAAAAGTAAGCACGGAGTTCAAATCATTTCATGGGTGCTGCCTTCTGCTGATCATTGAATTCACCCCCACCTCATTGCCTTGGCAATGGTGGTCACAGTTTTCACCACTACCTCTTCTGTCCCCTGCTAGCTGGAATTCCAATATAAACAGACTGAGTTCTGGGGCCGGTGAACACGTAAGTCTATGTGCTGATCTGGCTACAGAGAACTCCCGAGGTAGGAGGAGACGGAGAGGACAGATTGAATCACTCTTCTATTCCGCACCCATTGTCTGACATCTCTGCAAAGAGGAAGGACAAGCTAGCTAGGGACCTGGTTTGTAAGGGAGAGCTGGGCAAAGGCCCTCCCTGTTCCCGGATGCTCCTTGCTTGGTTCTAGGGCTGCCTCTTCCCAAAGGTTCATTCTTACTACCCAGGAAGCCTTTCTGCACCTCCTAGTTAGAACATAGCTTGCTCTGTTTCTAACACAGTTTCTCTATATTTTGCATTCTGGCTTTTTAGGGGTATTGTTTTGTGCTAAATTCCATGTATGTATTTCTTTCTCACTCATTTACTTATTTATATATCATAAGTTTTGAATGATTACTGTCTCAGGGAGTCTATATTTTATTAACAGAAATAATAGACCAATAAGTTTCTAGAAAATTAAGGACAAAGGTTCGGCTCCAATTAAAATTTACTGTTTGTTTTGTGTAAGTGAATGAATGCAGGTGGGGGACAATGTCTCCCAAGTCGTAAGGACACATTGTCAGGATCTCTTTCTAACTAGAGCTTCTGAGGATGACACACACACTCAGGAGGATTAAACACTTGGGAGCTTATGAAGGAAGGACGGGAGACCTCAGAATACAGGTAGCATGTTTCAAGGGTATTTGAGGAGGACTAGCCAGAAGATCCATTTGGTTGCGGGTTACACTGAGCAAACAGATCTGTTTAAAGCACCGAGTCTCAAGTGCAAACAAATCAGGATGGTAGGGGTTTCAGTGAGACCATTTTCTATTTATTATCTATGAGATCCCAAAGAAAGTTTGAAATACTCTCAGGGCAAAGTATTCGAACCACTACTGAGACACTGAAAATGTTGATGTTTTCCATTTTAAAGCAGTTACTTTGTCATATGCCGAGGTGTGTTGAAGATTTGAAAACCAGGGGAGGGATCTAAAAGAACAAAGAAGTCCAAATCCCCGTGTAGACTGACTAGAAAAGTGGACCAGGTGCTCTAGTTGCTAAGGATCTAAGACAGTGGATTGGATTCATCTGTTTCTCAGCTCAGTGACTGGCTTAGCCTGAGATTATTGCTATCACAGAGATGAACAGTGAGGTTTCCCTGAAGTCAGCTTGCTTTTCCAAAGACAGATCCCGATTAAAGTGCCAACACTACCCCTTCAAGGATTTTTCTCTTACCTGGGTGAAGTTGAACAAGAAGAATGAGCCCAGCAACAACTAAGGAAAGGATTCTCATGTCTGAAACCATCAGTGGAGAGGAGATGAAGGAGGTATGGCATAGAGCCTGGCTCCTTTATTGAGAGAGCAGAGTCAGACCCATTCTGCTGCTCAGAAACGGCTTTAAGAGAAAATCATTTTCCATGCTCCACTGAGTAGCGTGTGGGCCAGCAGATCAGATTTTCATCTAAGTCTTTTATCGGAGACAAGGCAGAGAAAGAACCCTGCCTTCTTGCCTGGAATATTCTATTCCATTTCTTCTTAGGCTTTCCCCATTTCCCTTTGTGTTCCATTTCAAGTGTCCCCGTTTCCACAAAACCTACAATCATGCTCTCTTTTCTTCCTGTGCCTTAAATTTTTATATATAATGTACACTTACAAGTTTTAACCACCGGTTGTTAGTTAAATGATTGATACCTGCTAGAGTGGCTTTTAAAATTTGAGGTTTAGAATAAATTTTAGCTATCCCAATAGATATTAAATTTCATAGAAGAATTCAGCTCAAATTTGATTGCTTTTCTCCATTAGATTCTTAAATCAGTGTTGTTTAATTTTCTAGTGGGAAACTATCTGCTTAGGGAAATTCACAAATAAACAAGCAATTATATGCAAATTGTTGTTAAATCTTTCAAGCTTATGCATATGTAAGTCTTTGAAGATGGTATAATTCTTAAAATTTCTTCCATAACCATCAGTGGTGGAAAAGCCATGTATATTTTTACTACACAGCTATGTGCTACCAACAGCCCCTAATTTTGTCCTAAAGGCAATGGAGCCAGTGTAGTTTTGTGCAGTACAGTTATCTGGAAGAATAAAAACCATCCACAACAGCTAGCGCTTGACAGATCAACCATGTAAATTGATTTCTGGGAAATGCGGAGCTGCGGAAAGGATGAGAAAGATGCAGAGAAGCCATCTTGGAGAAAAGAAAACGTCTAGTCAAGGAATGAAAGTATGGGGAGCCACCTGTGATGATTAAAGTGTTAACCCTGCCTGGCCCTCAGTGTAGATATGATGGAAACTTTACAATTAGGGCTTCGAATCCTGCTGTGGTGGCACATGTGTGCCCTAGTGCTCAGAAGTGGGCGCAGGGATTTCCGGCCAGCTTGGGTTACGGAGTGAGTACCAGCCCAACTGGACCGCATACTGAGACTCTGTTTCAACAAAAGTAAAACCAAAAAAATATGTGTACGTTAGTGTAACTTTATTAGGTTGCTGGGGACACTGTCCTTAGAAGGAGTGAGCATGGTTCTTATGGGGACACTGGCTGTTCCCAGAAAGTTTATTATGAAATAATAAAAACGCCCCCCCCCCCAATCTGCTGCTCTCAGGCTCCCTGTTTTCACTCAGCACAGGATTTTGCTCTCATCCACGCTCTTTTTCCGGGATGCCCTCACCATGATCTGACACAGTGTGGGAGACCTTCTCTACAGTCAAATGAGTGAGGTCACCTGATCTTGGACTTTAGCCTGGGAGTGAAATAAACTTTTCTTTATAAAGTAACTGAACTCAGTTGGTGTGTGACAGCAAAAGAAAAGGAGACTGACCTACGGGCTCCCCGCTCTGCATTCAGCCGCACCTACTCTCAGGTGGTGACCCTGTTCCGTGCTTTATGAGAGATTGAGTAGAAGGTATTCGTTGCTGCTTTGATTTTTATTATCTTAAAATGAAAAGGAAGTGCAGAAACAAAAGTGAGGGGAGACAGACACTGAACCGCATTCACTGGGGCCCGGTTAAGCCACAAAACTTCTGGCTTTGGACATTCATTCAGTACTAGTAGAAGGTCTGAGGAGCGATGGTTGGTGTGTTCAGATCCTCTCCCGACAGCAGAAGAAGTTCAGCTTGCACCTTCCTGCAATCTTCTCACTTTCCAAGCACACCGTCCTGCATTTCCCCCGACCGAGCCAGCAGGTCTCACACACAGCAAATTCACCTGTGCCAGGAAAGAGCTGCTGAGAACTTGTTGGGAATAGGAAGAACGTCTTAGGCCACCTAAACACGTGTATGGTTCGCACATACGGTTACGGAGAGCATTTTCTACAATTAGCCCAGAGGCTTTGGGGAATGGCTCAATTGGTCAAGTGTTTATTGGATAAGCATGAGGACCCGAGTCTCATCCTGGGCTGGATCCGAGCTGGGGAGGCAGAAACAGTTGAATCTTGGAAACTCAGTAGTCAGCTTGAGTTTCAAAACACAAGGTATGGATGGATCCTGCGGAATGACATCTAAGTTCCACCTTTGGTCTCCCCACGTATATGAACACCACACACAGACACACACACGCGCACACACACGCACACACAGACACACACACACATACCCCATATAAGAAAAGTACTACCCCATAGCTTCTGTTTACCATGGTATGGAGCTGAGAAGAGTTAAAAACAAGAGAAAAACATCATCCATGTTCCCCAGGTGTTTATTGTCTTTCATTGTTCCAATATAAGTGATAAAATAATATCTCTGTTTCAGAACTATTAAATGTGCATCTGATACTACTGAAAAATTACTCGTGAAAAGGCAAGGAATAGATTAGGGTTTCAAATCCCTGAAGCTGGAATGAAGAATTTTAGTCTCAATTCTTGTGTGGGCCTAGTAATGGCTGTGTATTTTCAATAAATTTCTTAATTTACCTAGCTTTATTCAGCTTAGGGACATTTCAGAAATACCTGTGCACATTTTAAATTTGCTTTGTGGCCAAACAAATTAACTGTGTGATGTTTGTGCTGTGGAGTATTTACTTATAAGGGTGCTGTGATGATTAAATGGCATAATTGATGTGTGTTTATTGAGACCTGGAGAAGTTGGTAGTCTATGACTTCCATATTTCTCACTCTGGAATGTTGTCTGAATTTATTCAATAAATTACTATTATTATTGTTGTGTGTGTGTAGAGAGAGGGGGTTATGTGTTTGGTACACATGCACATGTATGTACAGGTACATGCATCCATGTGTGTGCACATATAGAAGCAAGAAGAAGGCATTGAGTATCCTCTCCCTTCTATCACTCTCAGCCTCGAAGCAGGGTCTCTCTTCGAATCTTAGCCATTTTTTTCTAGCTGGACTGGCAGATAAAAAGGTTCCATTGACTCCTAGCTCTGTTTCCACAGTGCTGGGGTTACAGGTTCAAGCAAGGCTGCATGGGGGCTTGAGTCCAATTTGGGTCCTTATGGTTTCACAGCAAGCACTCCTAACCAGTGAGCTATTCCTCCAGCCTTCCAAGAATATTTCATTATTTATTTAGTGTTTGCATTTTGCTGTCTTCCCATGTGAGAGACTCTCCTGTGCACACTCAATGCTCATGACTAACCATTATAAGCAGCTTTTTCTATAACAAAGATGACTTATTACAAAACCATTCTACTTAATCCTCCTTACTCCAGCAGCACACAACTGTGCAGACCTCATTAAATTTAGGTTTTAGGATAAGGGAAACCATGATCTCTAGGTAGTGCCAACTGGTGTGGATGAGATTGAACCTAAGCACCGTAAATTAATGGGAGAGTCAATGGAAAAGTACAAATAGGATCATGGGTACAAGAAGAAGAGAAGATGGAGCCAAGGATCCAGAACTCAGTCCATACACAACTACCTTCCATCCTTGGCTTCATCAGTCAAAGATAGCTAACTAGGCCTGCATCCCCAAGAGAAAATGAGAAAGTATGGGTAAGAAATATAATTTACCTCCTGGAAATGACTGGGAATACTCAAGTCCTGCCCAGGACCCTAAATTTAAAACAAAATACATATTAGGAAAGAATATTAAGGCACGAAAGGACACTCTATAAGACTTCTCCTGCACGTGACAGGGCCCATGAGGGACTACCGATGCTATGGCTGCCATCTTTATTTGATTATCAAGACCAGCACTCCTGAGCCAGGAAGATCAATGTACAAAACAAGAACAAAATGAAAATCAAAGCTCTATTCAGGTGGCTCTTAGGATACATGAGTACAGCTCCAAGAAATCTATGGGGAAGAGATTTACTGTCAATTTCAGGGTGATGCATGAAAGAGCCACCGGGTTTCATGATCTGCCCCCATCACCTCATCAAGGTCCCATCAGCTTTTCTTTACCTGACGGCAGTAGGGCTACACTGAAGAACAAAGCACACACAAAAGAAAACATCGCTCTGCTCGGGGCCATGTTTGAGCGAAGATTCTTCAGAACACGGGATCAGGATTTCTTTGAGGGGACAAGAAGGCATTTATATTTGAAAGTAATGGGTTCTGTTCTCGGTCAGTGATGTGGATCAATGAAGAAAGCACAACTGCATGCTCCATTTGCCAAGATCAAGAACTGGATGGATAAAATGAATAAAAAAAATCACTTTGAGTGATGTAACCAAGACACAGAAAGACAATTATCACATGTACTCACTCATAAGTGTTTTAAAACATAAAGCAAAGAAAACCAGCCCACAAATCACAATCCCAGAGAACCTAGACAACAATGAGGACACTAAGAGAGACAGACATGGATCTAATCTACATGGGAAGTAGAAAAAGACAAGATCTCCTGAGTAAATTGGGAGCATGGGGACCTTGGGAGAGGGCTGAAGGGGAGGGGAGAGGCAGGGAGGGGAGCAGAGAAAAATGTAGAGCTCAATAAAAATCAATAAAAAAATTTTTAAAAGAAAAAAAAGAACTGGAGCAGTGGGTTAGAACCTTGGAGCCTGCAAAGTCTTATCCCCAACACCCGACCAGCCTGTGGAGTGGAGTGGATGTTTGTGCAAGTCTGGTAGATCGCAGGGTAGAATGAACTCTTCTACTGCAGGAATCTAGGGGAGAGGATCTCGAGGGTTCTTCGTATCTTTCTAAGAACCAAAGTGCATGTATTGCCTTTGCAGCATGTCCCGGGGATCTGGTATGGTCCCAACACAGAAGTACTTTGAATGCTCATGCCTCTTACAGAGCTCTGGCGGGGACTGGGAGGCAATCCACAGATGTGCACACTTGTCCTCCTCTTTCTCATTGCCGTATCTGGAAATGTCTCAGGAGAATGTGAGTTTGCCTTGAATCCTGTGCCTGTCAGACATCACATCACAGGCCAGTCGTAACCATAGCGATCTTTAACAATTAAAACCATGGGTATCAAAAAGAATAATCATGTCATTCATGTCAGTCCCCTGAACTGTGTCCTGTTTACTGCCACCCTGATGCTTATAGTTACGTGATGTTTCTCATCTTCAGTCTTGAAGGCCGAGGTAGGCCTGGAGCCATAGGTTTATCAACAAGTTACTCCAGAGACCGAGGCAGGAGCATCATGAGCTAACACCCTGCCTGGGATATTCAGTGAATTCAGTGAGCTCAGGACCATAAAATACTTAAAAAGAGGCCTGTAGTGTTTGTCTAGCACACACAAAACCTTTTACTTAATTTTCAGGGCTCCTCTCTCTCTCCCTTCACACACACACACACACACACACACACACACACACACACACACAGGCACACACATAAAAATGCAGACTATATAATCAGAAAGATATCTACCAAGAAGACCACATTTTATAGGTCATAATTTTTCAAACCTCAGTCTCCTTATCCTTAAAATTGGGTTAGAATTATGATATCTATCTCATGGGACATTTGAAAACATTGCATATAACATAGAAGTGTTTAGCATAATGTCTAATTATTATTATTACTATTACATTCATATTTCTATATAAGTTTGAACAATTACTCTGCTAAATGAGCATAGTAATAAGACACCTAAAGACATCTCCTATACTCAGATCAGGGCATCACTCAACCCTTGCCAGAGAATCTTGCATTATAAGGTAATTAACATAGACCTTCACTACCGGACAATGTGTGGAGAGCAAAAGACTGGTTGGAATGTCAGCCATTAGTGGGACTCTTATCACACTCCTCCACTCAAGGCTCAGGGATCTATGTGGAAGAGGAGGTGGGACAATTATAAGCACTTGCAGTAGTGGACAACTTCGAGGGAACTCCTTCGACACTGATGCACATATGAACTCACGGAGGCTGTGAAAGTGCGCACAAGACCAGCGCTAGTTTAACAGATAAAGCTCCAGCACGCTGCAGGGGAAGCGGGCACCAGGCTCAGTCCTAGACAAGAAGCTGTTTGTGTGTAATTGATAGCCCCAGAAGAGGGAGAATCAGTTTTTGCCACTGGAGTGACGCTGGGTCTATCAACCACACTCCAGGACATGCTTAGCATGGTTGGCCAACACGAATCAGACAGCACAAAGTTGGGTGGGTAGTGGGGAAGATCCGGGAGGAGTTATGGGAGAGGAAAGAATATGGTCAAAATACGTTGTGTGAAATTTGAAAAAAAAAAAAGGACAAACACAAACAAAATAAACCCTCAGCTAAAGTAAGATGAGTAACACCTGAAATGGGCTGCGTATGGCAAAGCCCAGAATTTAAAACTAACAATGGTGTGCATGCTTATGCCCCGTTCTTAGCCCAGCGTGTACAGTTCGCAAAGGCTGAATCTGGAGTTCAGAGTCCACCTGACCACAGCGCAGCCATTCTTAACTGTCATATGCTTACACTCCACTACACCTGAGAGCTGACGCTATTAAGGAACACAGTCAGGATTAGCAATAAAATGGTTGGACTCCAGATTTGTCTCCCATGACCCCTGTCCCCACTCATCCATCTGCGCCCACCTCTGTTCTCTTCTCATGCCTATTTATTTTCCTTCTTGGGAACTTTCCAGAACCAGAATAGCAACAGCTGTAGGTTGAGAGACACCCACTGCAGCAGGTAGGCTCCGTGTAGCACGGCATGGGTTCACTCATTCTGTAAGCTTCACTGATCAAGAATCTTAGTCTGGAGAAATGTATAAAGGTGGGTGTTGCTGTCCTTTCCCACGGACACTGCGCTGACCCCTCACCGTCCTCCAGGTCATGAAGACATCCTTCTTTCTCTTTGTTCTTCTCTTCTTTCTGGACCCAGGTAAAGAAAACAAACTTCTTTATATGGAGGGTTATCTAAGGTGCTGGCCCAGATACAAGGTCTATCCTGCAAATGCCCAGGTGTGATCAATCCTAAGATGGAAGGATGCCTTTGGTCTGTTGCCTTGAAAGAGAACAGTTGCTGAAGAAGGTAACTTTCCTACAATGAATCACCTATTCATCACTAACCACATACTCATACATTGCATTTTCCATTAGTATCTATGAGAAGTTGTCATAGGTTTGAATAAGTTGCAGAACATGAAGAAAGATACTTTTTGATGCCTGGGTTTATGTTTATTAACAAAAATAATGGACAAAAATTAAAGGTGTAATTAAAATGAAAAAGAAAACCCCAGATTTTTCAAATGTGTTTAAAATGAAGAGTAAATAGGCCATAAATAGGTAGAAAAAGACAGGTGTGGAGGAGGAAAGCCACGAGCTACATATCCATGTCCTTGTCCATCATGGCAGCAGGCAAAAGACCACACTGGAGACGACCACTTGTTTACTGCGTATCTAAAGATGGATGCTCTGTTGCAGACTCCTGATAAAGAAATGCATTGAGTTCTCTAAAACCAGTGCCTTTAAGAAAATTTCTGTTCTACTTTTAACTTAATGATAATCAGGTTTTTCTCGTTTAGTTTGAAATATTTACCCTAAGCACGCACACACACACGCACGCATGCACGCACGCACGCACACACACATGTTCATGCAGACAGAGACTCAGATGGGTGAAGGTTCATTTTAGGGACATACAGGTAAGGCAGAATTGGTCCTCTGTGTTACACAGTGAGAGATGTGGGATACCCTTCCCACATTAGAACTCTCTATGCTCTCTCACACTTCTGGCAACTTTGAAAAGATGTAGCTGTATCCTCTCCAAAATTAAGGCACAGGTCCTAATTCCAGGGAGCTGAGTGAAGGGACATTTGGGAGCCAGTGTGAATTTAACTTTACTCCAGGTTCTAGTGATGTATCAGCCCATGTGTGTTGCTCACCATTTTGTGTGTGCCCCTGGTCTGTGTTGTGACAAGTCTGTGTGATGGGTTTTGCATCAGGATCTGGAGAGCTAGCCCTTCAGTGAATGAATGGTTTTATCCTGCATCCTCCTGGCACTGATGTGAACACTGGGGTTGATGAGAGGTATTACAACCATTCATGTGTACTACAGAGTTAGTTAACACAAGGCAGAAGTATCCACTATAAAATTATCTATCATACCAAATGCATCACATGTGTAGAGACTCCATTTGAACCCATTAGAAAGCTATCAGCAAAGATGTTCTTTTGTTCTAAAAACTGCTGGTTCATCACTGCAAATTGGATGTCCTACAAAGACTCTTGGAAGAAGTTCCTGAACTTGTAGTCTGACATAGCCTGACTATATTAGGAGAGCAGAGAAAGTGTTAAATATTGCAGTGAAAGCCAGAGTTCAAGGGGCTTTGAAACATGGGCCGCTTATACCTGTGAACCGACGGTCTCATGGTAGTTCATGGCCAGTACAGTTGAGGGTCGTGGATGATATGTTTTGCATAAATTTAAATTAGCGACTTCATACATTCATATCAAATGGAATCTTTATACACTGGATACCTCCACTGCATTGTACTACAAGTCAGCAACTCTTGAGATTTTGATCCTGGTAGGACAGATTGTCTATCCTTAACATGCAGTGGTCTGCTCTTGTGAATGCTGCGGACAAGGTGCTAATGCAAGAACTAAAATTTCATGAAAAATAATGAGTAAGAGTCACAGCGAGCTTGTCTCAACTACCCCCACTTCCCCTAGAGTGTCTGACTTTCACAGTGGCATCCTGGAACATGGCAGAGAAATCAGATGTCTTTCTCTACTTGGGTATCGTGATGGCCCATTAGAAACCCATGGACAGAGATGTTCTTTGGCTTCAATCTGCCTGGGCCACCATTGTGAACTGGATAGTCTACAGGCCTCTTTATTTTCTGACTACTCCATTAAACCTTTGTTTTATGTATACAGCTACCACTTTTAATACAGTCTTGAGTCATCTCCCCTTCTCAGGCCTTGCTCTCAACCCTTACAGAGTAGCAGTCTTTGAGAGTATCTTAGGGAAGTTCCTAGCTGTGAACGTATTTATGAGCTGAGTTGATATTCTTTTTCCCTTCAGATTTGTATAAAGGGATGTCAGCTTCTGTCTTCAAAGGTCCCAATCAAAACTCTCCAGGTATTACCTAGTTCTGTCTGATCTTTTACCTTGTGTGGCAAAAGGCAGAGATGCCGCACAGAAAATGCTCGTATTAGTAACTCATCTACTAGAGAACCAGCACGTGTAAAGAGACTGTTGCTGACGTCACACACCAATCACAAGTGATAATTAGCCACATTTGAAAAAAAGAATCAACCTGAGTGGGGGTATTTCTTCTTTTTGTAGCCAAGAATGCTTTCTTCGATGAGAAGTGCATCAAGCTTAACGGGAGATGCACGGGTTACTGTCTGAAGAATGAAGAGCTTACTTCTCTCTGTCGGAAGTCTCTGAAGTGCTGTGTGATAGTCCAGCCATGCGAAAGGAGCAAAGGCAACGATTCGGCTACATAGAGATTCAGAGATGACCTAGCTGTGTCTTTTTGCTGTGGCATCTGCTGGAAGCAGATATGCCAATGAAAATAAATGGCTGCTTTTCTTCAGCTTGTTAACTCCTTCTTCAGAAGGCCAAGAATGGCTATCTAAACTTTACGGTCCCTCTATTCTTGTTTATTTTTCTATGCTTTTGGGGTGAGGCAATTGTTCCAGAGAGGTAATACAACAGCCAGGAACCATGTAAGCAACAGAGATGGCACACAGAAAAAAAGTAAGAAGCAGTCCACTTCTATGATGCCAGCTATTTTTTTTTAAAAAATAGTTATCAGTAGTATAATGGTTGGCTTTAGTTCACTCTGATTGTGTTTTTATATCTAGTTGGTTTTGATGTTGTTGCTGTTACGGTGGTTTGTTTTCACCCGGGTGATACTAGGGATTAAGCCCTCAAGAGAAGACCATTCACTAACGTGACCATCAACAAACTTGATTCCCCTTCCAACAGTACACAAATCACTCAGGAGATGCTCTTCCTGGGATTCTCTTGGTCACACCCTCCAGCTGAGAGTTTCGATGCCTGGGTTGTTCTCAGGCAGTTTCCATGCCGATGCTCTATTGTCTTTCTGTTGCTGACTTTTTGTTCATTTAGTCTGCTTGCTCTATACTTAATAACTTCACCCATTTAAAACGGAAAACACCGCTTCCATGCAAAATACATTGGGCATTTATTTATTTAAAATAACCCTTGACCTATGGTACTTGGGTTTAGTCTGGATCCTGTTTCCTGGGCTACGCATGCTTGAGGGAAGGCAGCGAGGTGAAGGCACCTGCCTGGTGAGCGGATGAAGGAGAAAAGAGAGAAGAGCCTCTTGTGTGGTTATCACTGCAAGAGAAAACCTGGGCGCAACTGTCAGACGTGTTTTTTTCTGCAAAACTGAGTTGGATCTAACAGTATCACCAGGAGGTGCCAAGGAGTAAAATGAATGAAGGAGAAAGGGAAAATGAAGATGATTCAGATAACTTAAAATGCAAAGGAAGATAGTGAAGGAGATGAAGGGCAAGGGGGGAGTAAAGAACAGAGAAAGAGACTGAGCAAGAGAAGAAAGAGCAGCCGTGAGAATCTTCACAGCTGTGACTGCCTGGAGCCCTTCCTAGCTGGGATGCTTTAAGTTTTTATGTACAATATTTTTCCATTAAAACCACGTGTTCTACAGACAACATAGAATCAGCACGGTAGCCTGCTGTTGATCACTGTTTTGATGCCTTGGGGAGGGGCACTGAAAAGTAACCGGGGAAACTGCAGCTGCGCTAATAACGTTTAATTTTCTCTTCATGCCTTCCATCTTAATCTAACCCTGGATTCTTATTCATCAAGCTCACCCAAAGCATTCAGGCGTATTATTTACTTCCTGAAAAAAAAAACCCACACAACTCAAAAGTTTGTTCTGGGAACAGTGTGGGAACTAACACGTCTTCTGGTGACCTTTGTGGCTGTGTGCTCTGTCTGGAGGCTCCCAGCCCACTTTCTAAGCACAGCTATAAGAGATCCTGAGCTGCTACCCACCCACCTAGGGTCCTCCTCTGCCGGCAGTCCCCTCTGCAGCCATGAAACAGAGAGCCCTTCCTTTTTTTGTCGGCCTTCTCCTTGTGGTCCTGCTGTTTCCAGGTAAAGCAGAACGGTGGCTTAGTCCTGGGGGTCAGGCTCTTTTGGCAATTGCCACTTTGGGTGTGGAAGTGTGGGGTGGGTGAGAAGGCATCAAAGTCCTAGAGAATAGAGTCCATTTTCTCAATGAGGCTTTTGGGGAGAAGTCAATGTGGTGGGGTCTCAGATGCGCTGGTGGCGTTAGCTATCCAAGAGAAAGAATTCCTCCTCCCTATCTTATGTCACACAGAGGACACCGAGTTTTAGAGTTAGGGACTCGCGGCAGGTGCATTTAGGATGTCCAAGACAAACGCGGAGCCTTTTGTAGCTGAGGTACTCAGACCCACTGTTCTGGGCACAGCTTCCCATGCCACTCTTTTTCCTTTTTGCCCCACACATGTGAATAACAAATACATACATAAAGAATACATGTAACCGTCCGAGAAAGAATGAAACCTGCTGCACACGTACAAACTGATGTCGCCAATAACTGAGGCCGAAGGCCTGCACACCTGCCAGCTCACCTGAACTGCGGTGTCCTTCCAGGTGTGGAAGCCCTGAAGAGGCAGCTAAACAGAGAAAGGCGGAGGCATCTCTACCCATGTCGGGCAATCTAAACATTTTATTATGACCAAAGTAAATAACAAGAGCTGTCTACAAACTAGCTTACAAAAGGCCCGCTAACTTCAGAGACATCTTCAAAGTCACGTCATTTATGCCGGAAGAGGTGGCTGTGATAAACCTTCATAGGAAAGCATTCAAACAATGTGTTCTCTCACTTCAGGAATAATTTTGGTTGCTTTCTTTTGTCATGCATCCTAAGAAGTATGAATTAAAAACATGGATAAGATACACACAGAAATAAATATCTGAATGGACAGAAAAATATGTCTGTATTTATGCTTTAACAAGGATGTATTTCAGACAGTACTGGTAGACCATTAAGAAGTAGCTCCTGGGGAAATCTGAGAAGGTTTTGTAAGATGACTAGAAACTAGTCAAGTTGGGAGAGGGGGCAGAAATCTCCGAACATAGGGTGGAGTTTGCACAAAGGAATAGGGACATGAGGAGATGGTTAGTTAAATGGGGAGCGTTCAAGCAGAGCTGCAAGGGAGGTCAACTCACAGAAGCAGGTGAGCTTCCACAGGAATTGGTGAGATGTCACCAAGGCAATCAGATAGCAACATCTTGGACTGCTGAACAAGAGGAAGTTGTAGCAGGTGCTCTAGGTTGCTCAGAGCCTCTCAATGCTCATTCTAAGGACAGAATTAAGAATGAACTAGAGAGGAGAAGCGAAAAGACCAGGGGAGAGGTGGTTGCAGCCATTGAAGTTGGAGAAAGTCAATCATGACTAAAGGTGAGTGACAGTTGAGAGGAACTCACCAGACGACTCTATGGAAGTGGAGTTCACGGGACTGGTGGCCACAGAGAAGGAGGAACAACAGGCTAGAGGTGAGTTATGTTAACCAAAGCTGCCCACACAGCGCAAGAGAGGGCACGGAGAGATTGCTCTGGATGCACCGAGCTCTAAAGGGTTCGCAGATGTCCAGCGAGGAGTTGAATGGTGTATTAAAACCCGGGGAAAAGAGGAAATGAAAACCCCAAGTTGCAGTCTTTTGTCAATAAGTGCTAAAACCTGTCGTTAGAGATGCCTTTCTGGGAAAAAGGATCTCTACTTCTGCTGTTTTAACTTCGGCACAATGGCTGCCCCTTAGTCTACTGTTATTTTAGCCAGCAGTTGCAGCTTCGCAGTTACAGGCCTGCTTCTCTGGTAGTAGCCTGGCTGCTCAGGCTGTAGCCTGGCATGAGATCTGTTCCCACAGGCACCAGCTCTGTTGCTACCACTAAAGGTAGCTTTAACTAAATCTCTGTTGTTCTATTTATAAATAAGTCTCAAGATTCAAAGGCTGGGGTGAAATCCTGCTAGCTCAGAGAAGCTGGGTCACAAATAGCTTACTTCTCCTTGCTGGCATCTCTAAAAGGCTCATGCATGCTTCTGCTCTGCCAAACCAGAAAAGGCCACGCCACTCCGAATCCCGCTCTATGGTTTCCTGTGTCTCTCTATCTCTCCTGGATGCCCTCTGATGCTCTATGACTACTTTCTGTCAACTAGTTGGTAACTCAGCCTCCTGATCCAAAGTGAGTCTTATTTAATTAATGCAAATGCAAACTCAGGGTTCACAGGTGATTGAATATCCCCCCCCACATAATTCAGAAAATGACTTTCTGGGGGTGGTGGGGCATAAGAATTGAAGTGCCAGAAATAACGCAATTCCAAAAGTTAAGACTGGAGATGGTTTGGTGGACTGGAGAGTCATAGAGGCAATGGGAAGTGGTCCTGAAAAGCAGTGACGCATAACTCCTCTGTCCTTCCTTATTTTCCGAGCTACCATACCTTGGTAAGCGGGGGACAGTTGGGCTCCAGACTGAGGATTGCATTCTATTAGCAACAATGCCTCAGATGTCCAGTTGTAGGAGGTCAGTGTTCCTTAAGTGAAGAGAACAAAAATGTATTCAAGGAGGCATTTTGTGTGTTTGTGAGATAAGATAGTGAGTAAGATGAACCTTGAGGGTGGAGTGGTGGAATGCAGGTCCATGTGAGACATACTCAAAGAAGGAATAAAGCTGAGATGGAGGCATGGAAGAATTTAAAATCTTCCCTGTAAGAAAGCAGGTATAGGTGTTACATTATTAGTCTTAAATCTAGTATTATTTCTGTTCTTCATTCATCTGCTCATTTACTTACTCAGCAAATATCTAGCAAACACCATCTTTACTTCAGTTGCTATTATTATTGGTTTCAAACCATTAGCAAACTCACGGTGTTCATGTATTTTATATCCCTACTGTCATGGCAAACCATGATTAATATCTGCAAGTAAGATACATGGCATGCTAGAAAACAGCAAATACGACGAGAGAAGAAAATCATGGAAGGAAATACAAACTGCGAGGCAGAATGTTGATTTTTAGAGTCTCACTGAGAAGGTAGACACTGGATAAAACCGTAATATGTCGGGGCATGGTGGACATGGACACCATGGGGATGGAACAGTAAAAGACAACACATTGAGGACCAGCTTTATTTGGTATATTTCAAGAGTATTGTGAAGAGGCCAGTGTGATCAGAAAAAAGGGAATAAGAAATCGGAGTGAGCTGGGGGTTTGCTAAAGAACCTGCAGGTTGGGTGGAGATGACCAAACACAGCCAAGTACATTGGGAAGAGGGCCACTGCCTTCCTGCTCAGTTGATGACTTTGGCAGACTGGATTGTAACCAGAGGTTTCTCTCCCACCCTCCAGTTCCCAAATAATCACTCAGAGGCTTCATATTAATTAGAAATGCTTGGCTGATGGCTCAGAGTTCTTAATAAGTAGCTCTTATATTTAAATTAACTGATTTCTATTAATCTGTGTATCGCCACGTGGTCCGTGACTTACTAGTGGTGCTC